TGCGTCAGCTTCGTCAGTAACAGTGATCACGTTGTAAAGGTCAATTAGGATTGGGATGTCGTTTAGGCTAAACCGTCTGAGGATGTCGTGTTTTGAAATCAGTGGTTGTAGTCCTGTATGGATTGCTTGCACTTGGGTATCCTCAAATGTGATAGTGGTCATTGTTGCTGGATTTGGCGTTGATGTTGTGGAAAGGTCACTGTCTGTGTCTGTCGCTCTATTGTCAGTATTGCGTGTCTTACCTGCCTGGTTGGCAAGGCGCAGCTCGATGTCGGTTTGCTCAAAATTCTTATCCGGTATGTCGGTGTTACTACGAGTGTTCGGCATCAACTGATAAGAGGTCACAGAGTAATCCGTTCAGTACATATGGTGGACAAATATGGAAAGGTCAGGGTTATAGCAGAAACAGGAATCGGACTGAAATGTCAGATGTAGACAGCTGGATCGGAACCGATAGTTCACTTATGTTGTAAGCTGTATGGAACTATTATGTCAGTTTAGTACATAAAGGTCAAATGTAATCCATTGTAATCCATAAAGATCGGTAGATACAGTGGGATCAGTGTGGAAAGGTCAATGGAGGTTGATAGTAAACACTTTAAAGACCACTGGAGCCACCATTTGTAACGTAGGTTCTTACTAACTGTAACTCAAAGCTGGCTAGATGGTATAAGTCTTTATTGATCTAAGACTGACTAAAACTATCAACGATTTTTTAGTATTGAAAACATAGGACTTATATATGAGAACAGATGGACAAGACAACGTCCAGTTACACAACGTTACTGGCGTATAGTGAATAGAAGTTATGACATTCAAACGGATGCACTTCCGTGTTGCGTAATATGCCTTTGTTGGCCAGTGCGTTATACAGCAACGCACTGTGGCTCGAACGCCAACCGGCACTTATGCATTGTGTAACAACTCTGTTGGCCAGTGAGTTGTGTAACAACTCACTGTTACTGTTATGCCAACGACCAGTACATACGTTGTGCATGTACACATGATAAATCATGTTACACTGGCACAGTATCCGGTTGTTTCCTTTATTCACCGGATACGTTCGCGAACGCTACGGCAATTACACATCGCGAAAACGCAGTAAGTACCGGTACAACTGTGCCGTTCATACCGAACGGACGGCACTGCATCATGCAGTCTCAACATCAATCCACATTACAGAAAAGGAATTACTGCTATCAAAAGTCCATGTTATTATGGTTATCACCGAACTTCAACATGAGCATCTCCGTGTGTACTCGTAATTTCATTATTTAAAATTTATTTATAGCGCTTCTCCTCCTAGCGCGGTTATGTGCATCATAATTCTAATAGTTTATTATTTTTTAGCAAAAGCCTCGATTTTAAGTATTAACGAATTTTGTTTTCCTAATCTCCCAAGCTCATAGTTCTTCAAGATGTTTAGTAGCATTTGTCTTTGCATAACAGTGATTTCCTTTGTTATACAGTACATAATGCAAAAACGTGGAGAAAATTGTGACCTTTGCAGGTAATCACAAGCATTCTGTTGATGCACCCTCGCATTCATCGGTTACCCGGGAGACAAAGCCGGAAAACAGCGCTTTTCTGTTGTTAACGTTGCTGATCGGAAGCGTGTTAATCTGCTGGACACCGTCGGCTATCATCTTGCCGGTATTGACCACGACGGTGGACCCCATTGTCATGCCATGGATTTTTGCATTAAGTGAACTGCAAGCCATAGTGGATCCCATAATTTTTGTTTTGTCATTGCCGGACCTTCGTCAACGAATTTTTCAGCCAACTCGTTGATGAAACGTGAAAACCGTTGTCATTGCTCGCTATCACTGACAATCGTCCCTACTGCTCCACTACAAGAGCTGCTTTCTGGTGTCGCATCAATTACTTTAGCCGCTAGATAAGGTGGCTCCGCAGAGTTGGTGTACGGGGAAATAACACCTGCAAATGTGTGTACTGCTCGTATTAACAACTGCACAGGCAATATACACATTTGCAAGCGCTAATTTCCCGTACACCTAATCTGTGGAGCCACTTCATCTAGCGGCTACAGTAATCGGGTCCTAATAAAATGCTTTATAAATACTGTATAAATATTGATTTCAAAATTTATTTTCTGCTAACGCACTAATCAGGGTTCAACTGCGCTGACGTGTCAAATAATCTTCACCAAAATTATTTTGTTGTAATAATCGAGCACTTGTTTAGTCGTTCACAATGGCAAAAGAAGGAGTAAGCACTGGAGGCGAAAAATAGTAGTCCTCATAATTCTCATGGCTACAATCAGTCATGACTGCTTTAAAATTAAATTTTAGAGAGTAAAACGAAAACTACTGGTATACATTATCGTTGTCTGGCGGTTCTACTCGCGGCAAAGTGTCGAAAACTGCCGCCGGATTACCGCAAACAACTGCCATGCTGAAGTGCTTTTTCAATTTGTGTCCTCCCGCGCTGCTCTTCCGACACGTTTACAAGATACCAATTTCTTGTCGCGAACGAAATTTCATGTTGGCGACTTTTATTCTGCTGCTTGCGACAAATATAGGCGTACTGCTACAGTATATTATTTAACATACTGTAATATTATACCTACGTATCTGCAGACAGCTGCACCGCAAGAATAAAAGTCGCACCAGGTTCAGTTAAGTACTGAGAGCAACTTCCTAGAAATACGTATTTTGCTGAAGAATTATAATTTAGACAAAATAAAAATCCATCCACCAGTTCCCATGATCGCATGCATGACGTATCAGCCCTGCCGTGTGGCGCTAAGGCTAAAAAAATCACTGCCCTCCTGGCATTTGTTGCCGATTGAAATTCATTCTGCAGTTAATTAATCGATGGCGAACGTCGACTGCCTCCAGAGTTCCAGAAAACCGACTTATCACATTGGAAAAAAACTCTACGTTGATTCCGAAAACCGGAATAAATGCGTGCTGTGGAAGAGAACCGTTTAGGCTCCACAAAACCTGTCCACACTCCAGATTTCCTCTAATAAAATTAATATCAATTCATTCATCTCATATCATCGGGATTTACCATCCGATCGTCTTGCATTCACCCTGTGGTCATCATCACTTTCACTTCCGCATAGGAAGGAGGAAGATCCGATTCCCTCCTAAACGGGACTGCTGTATACGGTGGCGCATCGTTGATCGGCGTAGCAGGGCGTGGCAAAACAATCGCCGTTTCTGCAACAGTGCCGGCGTTGTTTGCTGCTTTCGGAACCCGACACCGTCGCAGGGTGACGGCGGCCCTCAGCAGGCATGTTCCTTCCACAGTAAAATTAACGCTGCCAATTGTGATTAATATGGCCGATCTATATTTGCCGCCCTGTATATCTCCATGGATAACGGCGCCCAGCGCCAAGAGGACGCCGAGGATCAGCCCGGATGTGTAGATTTTTAAAAATGTTAAACCGGGTGCTGGGTTGATGGACCGGGAAAGGATCGGTTCGCGAAGGATGGGGCTTACCATTCTTCTTCTCCACAGACTGTACAGCGCTCCGGAGCTATTATGCAGAAGCACCCACACGTCGAGGATGTAGCCTATTGTAAAATCGCCTGGAGAATGTGCAAAAGAAGAATAATAACAATTAAGACAACGTGTAGTGTACGTCTTACTGCTATAATGCTATTTAACGATGTGCGATGATTTGACTAGCCATAGCATATTAATTTGATGTCCTTCGTAAATAAGGATATGTGATAGTGCCGAATTGTACGTGTACAGACATACTACAGTGCATCACATCATGATTGCGCAATAAATTCGTGACGGTGAAGATTTGACGCTGGCCCATAGACTCATATGCTATAACAGATAACTTAAATTTTCAAACATTCATAACTTTGTTAATTTTCGCGTTAATGTTTGTGAGTATGCTTTAAAAATACAGAATAATATCTACTATTAGGCAAAACAATTTTTTTTCTGTTTCCGTCTTAAGGTGTGGCACTGAGAGCATACGTGGTTATCATAGCCGCCTACGAGAAATCTTTAAATCAAATTAAAAGTAAAGTATGGTAAAGTGTGCTTTTAAAAAAATTATAGTTTAATCGTAGGCGTTAGTTTGCCGATGCCGTTAATTCCGTTTTCCTTAATCGAAACAAATTGACCAAGAGCATTTGCTGTATCTCTATTCTACACTGGAGCCTTTAATAAGTATCGTCATGTAAGTACAAACTGAGTACTAGAAAAAACGAGTTTATAACAAAAACACTTCTTCAATACTATCCTGCTCGGGGATTGTACCCATGACACATATCGCGTCTATTCTACGAACAAGCTAATCTTAATGAACGAGACTTTTACATCGACTTCCTCAGTTTCATAAAACCAAATAGCTGCCTACTGATGAAAAGAGGCATGCTAGCTGCTTCTGACAGCAGCAAGCATCATGAAACTAGTGAACACCCCCGGATTTCCTCAGTAAAGTACGAGGCACGAGGCAACGGTTTCCCCGCTCTACAGCACATTTTGTCACTTTCTCTGCTGCATCCCTGCCGAATATACAAGCGCGCCATGATACATAGATTTGCGGTTACGCTAGCCCCGTCGTACTTGCCGGGGTCAGCAAAATGCAGCGGGTTCACGGGCACACGAAAGGGAAAACCAGAAACGACGCAGCTGCCGCTTTCTGGGTGATCAGTGATTGTTTTATCAATTTGCCGTAGAAGCACTGGGAGCGCTTGAGAGGAAACAAAAGAGACGGCCAGTTTTCTTGGGCTAATGATATTAGAGGAGATTGTTTAAGTAAAACAGATCTACGGCTTTCTTGAAGCTGCGTAGTCTCGCAATAGTTAAAAGCAATGCGGCAGCAGGTTTGGCAGTTTGGCACCATGCCAAGGAAAAACAACTTTGTTAATATAAATGACTTTATTTGTTTTTTTCGCTTGAACATTAACAGTTAACCGTAATGGTTGTATCGCGTGAACATCGCTGCTTTGCAAAGGCGTGAACTAAATAAATGAAACATTTTCTTAGATTCCACATACATCGGTTTTGCGGCTGTAGCAAACGTGGTTATCGCTCACACTCAGCCTTACTGTCGGTTCAGGAAGCGGTGAAAATGATGAATATACGGGCAAAATTTACGAGCGTCGTTTCGGACGGTTTAGAGGCCAAAACGTCGGGCGGACAACTCAGGCGACCGGTCGTTTTGGGCGGTTACAGCGGCCTTGCATTGCACGGCCCACGCATTCCTTTCCCTGTGTTCGCCTTCATCACTTCGGCATACGGAGGAGGAAGATCCGATTCCCGTTGTATTGTAACTGCGGAGAACGGCGGGACGTCTTCGGTGGTCGTGTTGGTGAGTGGCAACATGTTCTCCACGACTGCGAGCGGAGTATTGGCGTCGTTCGGGGTTTCAGATGGAGGTGGCGCGCTGATGGTCAGCGAGATTACTGCGTCGGGTGCGGGCACATCAGTACCACAGAAACGCATCAAAAGGCCCACCACGGCCAGACAGGCCTGCATTCCAAGGGCGAGCCCTTCGTCGAGCATCGTCCATTGGTTACTGCTATGCCCCGCTGACGGGTCTAATGCTGCTTCCGTGAGCGCACCTACACTGAGCAATGCTCGAACGATCTGACAGCATACGTAGATGAGAATGAATCTTGAGAAAACCGGCTGGGAAGGCTGCCGCGTGTATGGTGCCGGTGCGTCCACTTGTTGGCCGCGAAATAAGCCAGACAGTCCGAAAATGCTGCTCATCACTCTCCATGACCGGGAAATGAGCATAAAGTAAACAGTTTTCCCGGTTTCCTGGTGACCTGTGAAAGCAGTACAGTTTATCTGTTCCCCTACGGTGATTTACTGTAGCAGCCAATACCTGACAGTGTATAATAATAACTATACAGTTGGTTTAGGTACAAAACTGACTGCCGCCTGTGCCGCTCTGCACGACAATTGTGCGGCGGTCGAAAACACAAACCCTACAAAATAGTAATAACAAGTGCATAATCAAAGCTGCAAAGTGGCAGTACGCCTAAATTACTCGTTGATTCGGTACTGAGCGGCGCGCGCCACCTACCTCTGATCTGATAGATAACGATTGACGGCAACGACAGCAGCACATACGGCAACTCAAGGGCACAGGAAAAAACCACAAATCTAAGTGAAAATTCAGCACTGCTGGTCGACGTATTTCCGGGACCGTTGGTCGTCCCGATGCACCAGTTCCTGAACGTGAGCGGAAGACGATCCCGTCTTAGGGTTACCGCGGCAATGAACAGGCAGGTTCCTTCCACAATAAGGTTAAGATTCCCCACAAAAATTAGCACGACCGCTCTTCCTTCGCTGCCCTGTAGAGCTCCCATAATAACGGCTCCAGTGCCAGGAGAACGCTGATAATCATCCAGGACATACAGACTTTCAAGAACTTTAAACCAGCTGTCCGGCTGATGGACGAGGAAATAATGGTTTGTTCACGAATGACGTGGCGTGAGGCTTTTCTTCTCCCCACGGTATAAAGTACTCCGAAGCTATTACAGACAACCACCCACACGTTGAGGATGTATCCTAATGTAAAATCGCCGGGCAGATCTGAGAAAATAAAATGAGAGTGGCAGCTGTTGCGGTGAATAGTATGTACATATGGCTATAATAACACCGTTAAGCCCGCTTAAGGTGACATCTAGTTGTAGACGTATTCCAGCTATTGGATTTTTCTCCGGAATATCAGGGTCTTTGATCCCAAGTTACTCATTTTTAAAGGAGGCCTCGCATTGAAATCCTTTTTATGAATAAAACAGTTGCGACTTGCGAGCACCCAACTTTTTTCGGAATATTATTGTACTTCGAATTCTTTAACTGTCACCGCCATCTAATACACTCTTCTCTCGCCGGCCTCCGCACAGTTGTCAAGCATGTATAGAATAGTACTGCACTTCGAACATATAACGCTTGCACGTTCGTACCTTTGGGGTTCGAAGTGGAGAAGAACGCTGTCAGTACGCCAAAAAACAGATTCACCAGCGAGAACCACAACGTCAGGTAATAGTATGTGCATTTAAAATCGTATGTCGTGCTCTGTAAAGATATCTGTTCTACCCACACGCTGCAGGTTCCCCGCTCCTGCGTGGATGATGTCCGCAACGCCATTGCTTCCCGCAGCGTTAGGCAATCCTTGATTAGGATCAGCTTAGCAAGATTGCACAGCAAGATGTCAACTTATGGATGTCACAGTCAATGATTACAGTTACATTCAACCTGTGATCAATTGTCATTTTTTGCTGCTTGTTATAATTATCAAAAGTCATAGTATTATCAAAATATTGCAAACTCAGACTGGGGTAGAAACATACAAACGTACAAATGATACAATGCTGTTTGGTCATGGAAAATGTTAGTCTCACATGCAAGTGCGAAGACAACCTGTTGTAAGAGCATGATATTCACGCTTTGCTATGTTGAAGTGTAATCCCAAAGAAAATCAATAAACGGTCAACGTCGCATGTGCCTAAACATTTGTGTAAATCCGAACGTCATACGATCAGAATACGTTAGAATATACGTAATATTCAACGTACAGCAGCAGATACCGGCATCATCAAAAACCGATTTTGGCTTTACGGATTATGAACTAATATACTGTAGATATCAATTTTTAAGTGCAGTAAGTACTAGTGCAGCACGTACAGTACAAACAATTACGTCGTGCGTACCATACCCAATACCGAACATCCCGTGCGCATGCGGCGCAGTGCACTGGTGCGACAGCTGAATATTAATTTTGACGTAGTCGTGCATTGCACTGCACCACATGCTCCGGAATGTTCGGTATGGGAGCGCGAGACGGTTTAGTCTTCAAATGTAAGTACTCGTATCTTGCAAAAACCAAAAAAAGGTACAACACGGTCAGACTTTTTATTCCTAAGCTCTAAGCAAATACGGTAAATCGTCGGAAAAAGGATTGCGATGATCAGGCGAAAAATAGCGCTTTAAGGCCGCCGCAAAATAATTATAGAGCGGTTGGACGAATCTCAAATTTTTTTGTTAAACCTTCATCCCTTGTCCTGAATGGCTTGATACAAAAGGAAGTGCGTATATGCACAGAAAATAAATTAGTGGTTCAAGCTTATTACGGTAACTACGGCAAATCGAATCAACATACGGCTGTTCAGTGGCACAGAAGCAGACTATGGCAAAATCGAAAAGCACTAAAGCTCAAGCTTTAATTCAGTTTGCCAGTGTAAATGTGAAACACCTCTGACAGTAAAAAATCACGGGAAGACATTATTCCACAGACGGCACGTGCACTAACAACACCCTTACGTTAGAAAAGTGTGGTGTTCAGTTGGACGTTCAAATTTCCTTTCGTTCAGATGCATCCTAACCTACCGGCTAATGAGCGAAAGGACCGAGTGCTGTGGATTCGATGGATGGTCATCGGGGCACTTATACGATATCGACGTAAAACACATCGAAAGCTTGGTTTCGAAGCAGCAGTTCTTGAGTCCTTTACAGTTCATCTGTCATGGAAGTGGCGCAAGCATCACGAGAGATGCGGATAACGAGAGCGATGTACCGCCTCCGTTAACTTCTTAAGCTTTAGCTCTCAGCGATGGTCAAACAAAAATACTTACTGCAGCAGTCCCCAATCGCAAGGCCAAGGATGCGCCAAAACTAACTATGTTACTATGGCCTTCCGAGTGTTGAAAGAAGACGGTCGTACGATGGAAATACGACCATGGTTTAAAAGGCCATGAAATATACTCACAAATCACAATGCACGGCGAGACATCGCGCTGAAAGGATCACACTTATTCCGATATGCCAGTACAGTGTCATAATTAAAAATACGCTATGAACGTTATACGATATTATACACTATGAACGTTATAATTATAATCTTATGATTCTTATCACAGTATTAGGAATCATAGTCACAAACGTATCAGAGCAAACGCTGTCCTTAAATAATTTTTAAGAATTCTGTTTTCGTTTATGTGACAAAAGATGCGCATACCGGTAATATGGCAATACGAACTGTACGGCAGGAAATGGTAATGGTTTCCTTTATCTGCTGACAAAACTGTAACAAAAGAAATTTTAATGTTTAAAATAATTTTCTATCCAAAAATACAACGCTGGCTGCCGATACGTATTTTATCTTCACAAGTACCAGCGAAACCCACAAGTGATAATAACAATAATAATTTACTGGAAAAACACCAAGCACTATAATAATAACAACAATTTCCTGGACAAACAACAATCACTATTTCTTGAACCCCGGTCCGCAGTCAGTGGAGTGCGTAGTGTCACTGTTTAGAAGAATCCTTGGCCGATGCGTTCCAGTTGTAGTGATCAAAGGCATGCTTCGGTTGACATAAGTCAATGGATAGCTTTCACAGAATGCATAACGCTGATTTGCCACGTACTTTGCGATTGGTATTTGACAATATGCTGGCCCATCGTTGCCGATTTCCGGGTTTTGAACTTACATCCTGTACAATATAGAAAAACCCCGGTGGCACAAAGCTGTGCGTGCTCCCTGTTTGCCAAATGTGAGAGAAATGCGTCCTCTTCCTCGCAGGATACGCGACAAACCTGACACTGATATCTTGCGCGAACACTGCTCGTGGTAGAATTTTCTGGCGGAAGTAACAGCATCTCGGGAGCCGTTCCCGCGCATCGGACTGGTGATTCACTGGAAGTTGGGTGCCCTGTACTGTGGCTGGAGTGAAATTGTGCTGTGTCAGTTTCCACATCCACGCCGACTTCTGGGATAGGCTCGGACGAATGATCTGGCTGTTGGAGATTACTTGACATAGGCTCAGGTCGAGGTGGTTCTACGATCGGAGCCACAAAAGTTGGATCTGCGGCTGCATCCGACCGCTGCTGCCCGTTATCCAAAGCATCTTCCGTTTCGATCGGCCGGAATGTGAATACCGGCGTAACGCATGTTTCATGGTTAGGAAATGCAGTCGAAGGTTGAGTCTATACAAAGGAAGCATCTTCAAAATGATAATAATAATTTATGGCGTACAATTTCATAAGTCTTAACTGTGTTAAAGAAATGTACAACTTATAAACCGCCAAAGCTACTGTTTATATTGACACCCCTACATTTTGCTAACTGAAGGAGAGTTTACCCGCTAAATTGTGTAAAGGATACATCGCTTCTGAGTGGTACTGTTACTAGTATCTGAGTAACAGTATGAATCAACCTCAAAAAACAAACAAAGACATGTAGTTTGGCATCTTACATTACTGAGCTGGCCGGTTGGGAACGCTTCTTCGTCGTTGTTGTCCTGCCCTTCGGCAACTCTACCGCCATCTTGCGTGGATGCGGCATCGGACACGGAGCAAACATCGTGGTGCAGTTGCATCACTTCAGGCGAACATCCCTGTTGGCGCAAGTCTGGAACGATGGAATGCATTTCTCGAGATGGGCTGCTTTCCCTGTTCGCAATCTCCTGCGATTGTGAAGCGGTGTTGTCTGCGGATATGTCCGGCATATGAGAAGCGGTATTCGCAGACTCCCCCGGTTCTGTGCCTGTGCCACACACAATGTTTTCCGGTACTTCCGTTTCCACGTGATCTTCCTCTCGCTCACCGTTTTGTTGAGGGTGTCGCATGCCGAAATAATCATCGAGTGAACGCGCACGAATATCCACACACACTAGAGCCGTAACTTCTGTAAAATAATCGTTCGTCATATAAAATTCAGTTAAATAATCGTAGGCCACGCTGAGAGAGTCAATTTAATTGGTTACTTAAAGAATAATTTTAAATCAGCAGCCGGAAGTTCTTGCAATTTACGTCATTATTTTAATGAATCCGTTTAGTCGATTTGCACCTCTTTCGGACCTGGTCACTGCCAGGTATCGCACACGTAATACGTATACCAAACCGCGAACAGTGGGTATAACTTTTCCCTGAGGCGGGCACAGTAATCATTGTCTTCTTTAATCAACAGCCTTCTTTAATTCGTGGTACTGTGCTGCTACCCTGCACTTCTCCATTAATTTTATTTCACTGTGCAGGCTCAGGCGCGATGTATGAACTGCTTCATGATTCACACATATGGCTCACAGACCACAGTCCATGTAGTGTGTTATAAAATCTAAGCCATGTACTGTAGTTATAGAATAGTGAACGGCTCATACAACGTACGTGCGCTCGCACTGCAAAAGAAATTAATGGACAAGTGCAGGATACTGTAACATTAAAGCATACAGTATACACACCTTTCTGGCTCTCGATGGCGCGGCAGTTGTCGCTGTTTGTGATTTCCCGAGTTTCTGCTGATCCGTTACCTGAGTGTGGAGGATGAACTTCGACAGCGCAGTTGTCATGTGGTAATGAACTTGCGTCACTATTCTCGCTTTCACAGCTTAGTGAATCCGCATGCTCTAAAGTTGTATGCGGTTGTTGTCGGTCCTTAGATGGCATCCGCTCAAGTTGGGGCGAAGTTAGGAGCGGCTCCGTATTGATGTGATCAACGGCTGATCCCGATGTCCGCCGCTCGATATTACCGACGCCTGGAGCTTCCAACCGACATAATGTCGCTACCGGAGTCACGCATATGTCATCGGCAGGTACTGCAGTGAACGGTTGAGCCTGTGAACATGCAGAATAATTTTAAAACGAAGGCAAGATTGCCATCCTTTGGCTCTACATTCTTAGCAGCAAATGGGGCGGCCAATAACAGCTGAAGAAACGTCTGCGATGTATTTTATTCCTAGTTAAAGATATTTTGCAGCCTTAAAGTAACAAACAAGCGAACAAATAGTCGGCACACTGCAACTAACTTACATTGGACAGCTGAAAAGTCACCAGTGATTCTCCGCTGCGGATATCCCGCTCAACGGCGTCGCTGCTGGCAGATTCGACGAACGGTTCGTTGTCCGTTACGTTATGCTGACGCTCTGGAGCACTGCTAGAGGCTTCGCTCTCGTACGGTTGCGGCCGCTGGGTATCCATTGTACTGACGCTAAGGATTTGGTGGCTGTACACAACAGCGACTAAAACAGGAAGATAAAAACATTAGGTAACAGGCGAGTAGCCGATTTGCTCACGTAAACTACTGCTGAGTATGCCATATGCGGCGAAACGTCACTACTGAATGTATACAGAAAATGTCTTTTCTGCTATAATAACAAGTAAAATATTAAAGAAATTTACAAACTACACCTTTATAAGATCAAATGCATAAATACAATGCGGATAAAACATTAAAATGTTTATGCCTATCCAAACATAGAATTATTAATGTAACTAACCACAAACAGACTTGTCTTTGCGCTACAATAGCCTTTTGGTATTCACACGATAAGCTTTCGTAAAACGTAAAACGTAATGGAAGCAGCATGGTTTAGCAGTGCAGTATAATCGATACGTGTATACCTCACAGAGTGTCTACTCGTGTACTATGCAGCCGTGGCCCGTAAGATCAAAATGAGTCATACCGCTCTGGCTGTCCGCGTTTTCATTTAGCTCACGAGGTCCCGGTGTCCCTTCTTTCTCACTGCGACAAACCGGCGGACGTAAATTTGGTGGGGCGTGTGGAGTATGTTCAGCCATAGAATCTTCGTGGTGTGCAGATGTGGTTGCGCGTCTGCCTTGAGACGCTGGCCCGTTCGGACGTTTGGAAGCCTTGGCAGGCTTAGATGACAAACCACAAAACGCTGTTGGAGCATCACACAGCTGGCGTCGTGTCCCGGACCTGACGATACGGCGGACACGTTTCGCCGTTATACCCGCGATCTTGCCTGCATTGGGTGGGTTACGTTCTGCCCCAAAAGATCATCACAGGAATCGCGTTGCTGCTCGCCATGACTGCTGGCTTCACGAAAATGATGGCTGTCTGTTTCTACCTGAGGGAGTTCTTTGCGGCTGCAGCCCGGCATTTCTGCATCTCCCGTGGAAATGGCTGCGGAAAGGAAGCAGTTTTTAAGTTGCTGCCTAACCGCTTCATAAGAACATGCTTGTTCGCGAAGTTTCAGAACGATGGACTGCAGTTCCCGGAATGGGCTACTGTTCCCGTCCGTAACCGCTCCCCGTTCCTGTGCAGCCGGGTCCGGCAAAGCGATGGGCGTAATACTAGTTGGCACGATGGGCGGCTCGTTATGTTGCCGTTCTGGAGAGCTGTCACGAGGTTCGATATACATGGTGGTTATGTTCCCGATTGGTGCGATGGGCGGTCCACTGTCGGCTACGTTATGTTGATGGGATGGTGTGACGTGATGCGCTTCGTTAACGCGCGACAGCGGCTGAGGGGGGTCCGTTGTATCTGCTGTATAGTGGCTGTGTGCAGCAGCGGCTAGATGCAGAAAGATTATGTGCAGGCTGGAGATGATAAGCGCCGTACAAGTGCTATACAGTCTACATCTTGTGAGAGTGGAGACTTACGTATTGTTAGATTATGTATTCAGCGTGATTGCCAGTAAATGTAATGTTGCCATATGTGCTACAGGTACATGTAAATACCAGACCTGGGCAGTTAATTTTAACTATTTAACTTAACGCGAGTTATTTTCGAGTTATTTAGTTATAACTTAGCTCTTTAGCTCTCATAAAAATACTGTATATTGCCTATGGCAGCGTAACTCGCGGTTTAACTCGAAACTCGGTTTTCTTGTATAAATAACTCAACTCTTAGCGTAATTTGCACGCTCCCGGTAACTCGTAACTCTAACTTTGGGTCATTTTTCTATAACTGCCCAGGTCTGGTAAATACATGTAGCTACTCTGTACATGTGCTTATTATGTAGCTATATTTCAAAACGTATTTACTATAAAAATAATAGTATAAAAATACGCCATACCGTTCTGGCTGCCCTTGTTACGCAGTTCATTGACCTCAGCAGGTTCCGGCATCCCTGCGGTTTCACTGCTGCATACCGATGAACGCAAATTCGGTGAGCCGTGTTGTGTACATCCAGTCACAGAATCTCCACTATGTGTAACCGTTGCTACACATTCGCATTGGGACGCCGTACCGTCCTGATTTTCGGCAGTCATGGTTGGCTGGAACGTGGATGTTGTTGGAGCATCAGCCTCCTGACTTCCTGGTCCAGATTCAAGCATACTGCGGAGTCGCTCCATCGAAAGTCCCGATGTCTGGGCCATATCGGCGAGGTTACAAGTCCCTATGAAAACATCGTCAAAGGAACTGCGTGTTAGCTCGTGGTAAGTGCTGACCTCGGACGCATTGTGCCCGTCTGCTTCTATAAAAACAGCACTCAAGCGTTTGAGGAGCATAAAGTCTTTATTATCAGCGTACGGGTGGAGAAACAGGAAACAAGCAGGTATCAAACCTTGTACAGTCGCCTGTACTTTACCCGTTGTACGGCATTGCATCCAGTATTAAAAAAGCACACTTACGCACGAGGAATTTGCCGAATATAGATTGTACAACATACGAGCAGCTGGTTAACCTGCTTACCACTTTGGCTACTTTCCCCAGAATTGCGATCCACACCCCCGTCTTCGGCGTCATGGAGTAGTAACGTGCCATCTACGCGGAAATCCGTAGAAGCGACCCCGTAGTAACCAGCGCCATCGATAACTGCCGTTGGCTGTGCGCCCTGTGCGATTGGACCTTCATTGAAACTTCTCCAGTCAAGTTCGTGAACTTCTGAAGCATTTCCATCCTGCAGACTATGCGTATTCGTAGTGGTCGATTCTTGGATTATACTTATAGTTGTCGGTAAGGCGTCCACAGCGGCAGTGCACACTCTCGGCTCTCCGGAGATTACATGGCTGGTACTTTCGTCGGGATTAGACTCGAAGGTGTTCCCACAATCGGAATTACAGCAAGGTTCACATTCAGAGCCTGGAACTCTCTGTTGCATGGCTAACAACCGAGCTGACCTCCGGCGCCGATGGTCCGTTTTGCTGCCACCGTCATCATCAACTCCCGGTGTCAGGACGACTCCTTCTTCCGCGTCACTATTATTATCCATCGCAGGTGACTTCCTGCTCAACGGAAGCACATCCGGCGCACTCGCTTCTTGGTCCCAGTTTTTCCTCAAAATCTTGCTTATCGTACGAACGCTCAGTTTCAGCTGTTTCGCAATTGCTCTCATTGTCAATCCCTCCGCGCGCAGTTTCTGAATATCTGCTTGCCTCTGCAGGTAGCTGTTTTGGCTGCGTTCCTGAAGGGATTTGCCATTCTGTAGCAAAATCCAGTTTAAAGTTCTCTCTGAGATTTTAAACTTCTTCTGGATGTACGATCCACCGCGACCTTCTTCAAAGCAGTTCAGTATGTCTTTCTTCTTTTTCTGGCTAACAGAGACCTTAGTTCGCTTGACCGAGCTGCGGGAAATAACAGCGGCTACTTCTTCACCCAGCTTAACCTCTTTCATAATATCGGTTATTGAGTACCCACGATGATGCAGCAGGAGGATATTCTTCTTCTGTGCATTGGTAACGATCATTCGTCGGTATGTCCCTACGGTCTCGACGCTAATGCTGAACCGCTTCGCAATTTCTTCTGGACTGAGTGTTCCTTCGCGCGCTAGCTTTCTGATCTCATTTTTCTGAAGTTCAGTCAGCTCGGTGCGCCGTTTGGGCAACTTTGCTGCCTTGATAAACTTGTGAAGTGTTTTACTGTTGATATCCACGCGCTCTGCGATTTTTCTCCATGTGCAGCCGCTTTTGTACATTTCGCAGATCAGCTGCTTGTTTTTCTCGTTCAGTTTGTGTTGCTTGGGTTGAGCCATAGAACTCCCAGGGTGTGCTTCTTCATCTCGGGAATCCGTAGAAGCGTGCCCATGAGAAGCGGCTTCGGTAACTGCAGGTTGCTGTGCGACCAGACCTTCGTCAAGACGACCCGATTCAAATCCGGAAGTTCCTACCCCGGAAGTCTTTGTTTCAGAATCTTCCGCATCACAAGTGTCAGTTTCTGCTTCGGAAGTTCCTGCATCCGACGTCTCTGTTTCCTCTTCTGATATCACTGCATCGGAAGCATCGCTTTTTGCTTCAGAGGTTTCTGCATCAGATGCTTCTGATTCGGAAGTTTGGGCTTGATAAACACTTTTGCGTTTGCATCCTTGATTTCTTTGCTGCAAGGCTGTTACCCGAGCCGACCTCCGACACCCGACAGCTATGTTGTTACCGCCTTTCTCGTTAACTGGCGAACTTGGCGAATTCTGGACGACTTTTTCTCCGGCGGCAGTGCTCGATTCCATTTCAAGGTTAACCCTGCTCAAAGGGAGCCCATCAGCCGCGATGGGTGCGTTGTCACAGTTCTTTTGCAGAATATTGAATATTGCTCCCGTGGTAATTTTCAACTGCCTTGATATGGCCCTCATTGTTAATCCCTGAGCACGAAGTTTCAGAACAGACGCTTGCCGCTCCTCATAAATTTTTCGGGAACGTTCCTGGAACGTTTTCCCATTCTGCTGCAAAATCCGTTGTAAAGTCGTTTCGGTGATGCCGAACTTCTTCAATATGTGCTCCTTAGTCCGCCCTTCTTCGAAACAGTTCAGTATTTGTTCTTGTTGCGCCTGGGTAACGGAGAGTTTCCGCTGCGCGGCCAAAGCACTTCTAATTACAGTATATGCGGCATCTCCGTCAACTTTAACCTCACGCATAATATCCGCCCTTGAGCAGCCGCGATGGAACAATTGAAGGATCATTTTCCTTTGCTCTTCCGTGACTGGCGATTCGGTGGCCCTCAGCCGAATTCGATCTACGCTGGTCGTGCAAATGTTGAACTGCTTCGCAATTTCTGCCGTACTCTGATCTCCTTTGCGAACTAGCTCTAGGATCTCTTTTCTGAGGCTTTCAGTCAGCTTAGTGCGTCGTCGGGATAATTTTTCAGCTTTAATGACTTTCAGGATTGTAGCACGGCTGACACCTACGCGATCGAGGATTTGCTGCCATTTGTAGCCACCTTTGTGTAATTCACAAATCAGCCGTCTTTTTTTCTCATCCATTCCTTTCTTCTTATCGGGTGCCTTGGAGTTGATCATCGGCAATCCGAGTGGGTGCGAATCTGTACAAGCCGGGTAATTAGTTTCTTGCGTAAAGGACGCAAAGGTACAGGTACAGCAGTACATACGCGCGACGCTGCCTTTTACATTGTTAGAAAGCAACCACTACCTACACTACAGCTGTCGAAATGATAAATTTAATTCCGAAACGGCTTGTTATGAGAAATAAATTCGATTGTTAAGTAGGCCGACCCACTGTACTTTTAATAAAATACGAATGCAAAAATATATCGCAAGCATAGTATTATATTCATGCCGCCGCTGATGTTTCAGCCAGATACTAACTTCGTTAAACTGAAGCTGCAAAATTTTATCAGCCCTTTTTATTTTAAATCAATCTAAAATACCGTACATACAGTAGTTTTGCTAACAACAAGATGAAATACCTAACCAATGCGGGCAAACGATTATTCCGAAATAGCTTATTTAACTCAGTCTCCTGGACTACAATCAACACAAAGTGTATCTGTCTGGCATCTGCCTTCAGTAACTCGTATCTAAAATATTCTGTAACGCTAATACATTTCACTAGTTAAAACAGAAAAAGGGATGCAATGCGGCAGGAAAGCGGATGATTTTATATACGGTGGATGAAATTCGGCAGAAAGCTGGCTCCTACAGGATCTTCGCGGGGAGGCACCCCCTCGATACCTTCTCTCAAAAGACCTACGCATCCGAATCTTTTTGGGGATTTTATTTAGAAAGAGTACAAGTACTGTAATGCAAAATACAGATGACAATATTTAAAGCAAAACAACAAATTCAAGCAGAAAATCAATCCGAAATCACGCATGAGGCGATAGTGGCCAAAACCAGCTGCGCAATCCTTGCCAAAGCTCTAAACCTAAACGTTGCAAAATGGAAGCGAACTGGGATATTTCGGTACGAACGAAAAGAATTTCTTACAAAACAAAAGCTGCTTTGTTCAACGAACCCATATAACTCGCATGCCAAAGGCACAAAATGACATCTAAAATCGAGGTATACTTTCTCTTCTTATCTGCAAATGCGCGCTTCTTACCTTCTTATATACCTGTACGAGTATTTATCAGAATTACTTCCCTGCTCGTAATCGCTGTTGACTATTTGCTCACTGACGCTCATAATCGCTGACTGACTATGAGTCAACATTTACCCATTTCAAAAACCGGCAAACTCTAATGAACAGTTCAGATATTTGTTCAGATATACTGTATATACCCACAAAAGTTATTGTTACAACTCAACCAAAGTCATTATTTAAACATTCAAATTGCAGAGAATTATTATTATATAATTATCTGTAAACTTTAAAACATAAATAACCTACGCTTTAACACACTGCAAAATTTAGCTGTGATTGACGCCGCAGTATAATGTACAGCTGTACGGATGTAAGTCATGTAACCTATGTATATACTCGGGGCTTCACATGTGACTTTTCGTCGCTGACTTAGAAAATAGTAATTGCCTAATTACATAGTACCGAATTCGGGTACATACACGACAACTTTCGCAGTGGCGCACTCCCAAACACTTCTTTGCATTGCTTTATGATATTTTGTAGCCAAAGGATTTGTATACGTAGGCGTGAAATCCTTTTGCGCGCGCAACATCCGGTTGGGTGTTATTAATAAAATAACATTCCAAAGTTTAAACGCGCGGAGGTGTACCAAAAGTCTCAATATGAACCGAAGCTCTTCAAATTTTGCACGAAAACACACATTACAATGCCTTTCGTTTTGGTACCGAACCAGCTTTCTACAATTTTTTTCAAATTTTAAAATGAATTTCGAAAACTTTTAAAATTAAATTAAAATTTGAAAAACGTGGTGGAAAGCTGGTTCGGTGTAGAACGATCTTCATAGTAATATGCGGTTTCATGCAAATTTTGAAGAGCATCGGCTCAGAATGAGACTTATGGTACACCTCCGCGCGTTTAAACTTTTGGAATTTATTTCACTAATGACTCCCGAACCCGATGTTGCGCGCGCAAACGGATTTCACGCCTACATATACAATTCTTTGGCTATAAAATATCACAAAGCAATGCGAAAAAGTTTTGGAAGTGCGCGACAGCGAAAATTCCGGTGGATGTACACGTATCTAGTGCTATGTACCGGACCAAATGCCGTAATCACGAATTGCGATATGATGGATGTAATTCTTGCATCCGTCATAAATTATTGTAATTTGTGAATTGGTATTTTCACCTATTAGACTAACTGTCACGGCCATATCCAAGAAGCTCTGCTTCTCGCCGGCCATCGCACAATCGCCGAGGATGTGCAGAATTACTGTACACGTAATGCTTGCAGGTTCGTACCTTTGGTATTCAAAATGGAGAGCAACGCTGTCAGTGCGCCAAAGGAAAGATTCACCAGCGAGAACCACAACGACAGAAAATAGTATGTGCATCTAAAATCGTATGCCAGGTCCTGTAGGGATAGCTACTCTCCCCGGCGTCCCGCACGCTGCAGGTTCTCACTCCTGCAGGATGAAGTGGATTGTGTCCGCAGTTGCATTGCTTCCCCATCGTTAAGCAATTAGGATCGGAAGTCAGCTTTCAGTTCCAGCGCTTTTCGATACATTTTCCCTCAAGATTGACGCTGACTTTGTGGATGGAGATCTACAGAGCCGGGAGCCGTAGCAAAATAACCTTCTTTTTCCAGAACATATTTCATCACGACACACTTTTGACTTCTGCACCAAGTATTTAGCAGGGTAAACATTTTGCGACAGATGTGGGCGACGAACCGGATGTCGGTCTTATGCAGCGGGGAAATATCATTTGATACAAAAGTATTTTCGAAGCAACATAGCTGATATTCTGCTAACAGCCGTTATCCGATCAAATGGAGCTCGTAAATTAGTAATAAAATTAGGATGTGCGCCAGGTTGCACTGCAAGATGTCGAGTTGCCGATGCCAGAGTCACTTACATACTACAATTACATTCCTCCTGTGATCAATTTTCATACTACATACATATGCCGTAGTCTAGCTGCATAGAGGATAGAGGACAGGGAGAGGTATAAAAATAGCTCTGTCTGTTCAGCTTTACTACGACTATACTGGATGATCAGTCGTTATACTAGTCACACCAAGGTATTGTAGACGGGTAATTTTTATTGGTTTGCTTATCATTTATAGGTTTAAACATCAACATTACATTATAAAACAAAGTAAACAGCGTTAAAACCGTCAGAACGCGGAACAGTAGACGTCACAGACAGCGCATTCCACCGCTGTATTTCAATACAAAGACGCTGTAGTAAAAACTCGTAGGAGCGTCGTTCTCCCGTAGCATCCTTTAATCGCCTGCCCAACTCTCGTAAAAATGTGATACATGATGGACCAGCGACGCCAAACGTTTCAAAAGCCAAAGCAACAAATTCGAATTCAGGAGCTAAATACTCGTATTTCCGCCTCTTTTCTTCTTCCGCTTTTCGGGCAGCTTCTCCAGCCTTGACGCTGCTGCTGATGACGTTAGACAAGGCAACCGTATCAACACAAGTCACGTCCCATGCTAACCGTAACCCGTTCTTCCAAGGCAGTTGCGATACACCGTCCGGCCGGCGATTATCTTCATCACTAGTGCCAAGCGGTTCCAGTAAAGCCGGTATTTTAGCAGTGACCAGGCTTCTTCGAATCAGTTCGTTCAGTGCAGTGTGGCGAAGAAAACGTCCGGCGCTCTTATTATTATGTTAAGTTTATTATTATGTATTGTAGACTGAGACTGGGGATAGAAGTATACTAACCTAAAATATTGCGTGATCCATTCCATTGCCGTTGCTCAAGGTGTGCGACAGAAATGGAACGAACACATGAAGAGAGGAATCTTCATTCTTTCCTCTCGCACACCTACTCGTAGAGCAACGGCAATGCTTGATCATATAGAAAGATATCATATCACATGCAAATGCCATGACACGTACTGTACGAGTTCGCGCTTTACTGTACTGTGGTTAAGTGTACAGTACACTTACAGTAATCCCGAAGAAATCGATAATCGGTATATTCTTCGCATGTTCGGCTTGTGCCTAAACGTTTGTGTGAATCCGAACCTCGTACGCCAGGGCGTCCACTTATTACAGCAGAATAATTTTTCGGGTACTTACATACTACAACTACGGGTACCTGCATCATTAAAAACTGGTTTTGGCTTTACGGACTATGAATTAATATAAATTTTTAAGTACAGTATTAGTGCAACACGTACATACAAATTGTCAATGGATACAATTAATAAGATTAGACGATCGCGCGTTCTCATACCGAACATTCCGTGCGCATGCGGCGCAGTGCTCTGTGCGAAAGCCGGATATTTTACAGCAGTCGGAAAGCGCACTGCGCCACATGCGCACAGGAAGTTGAGTATAGGAGAGTGTGACCGTTTACTATTAAATTGTACGTACTCGTACCTTGCAGAAACGAGCATGAAAAAGCACAACACGGTCAGACTTTTTTATTCTTTAGCCCTGCGAATAAATCTTCGGCATTAGAATTGCGGTGATTAGGATACATCGTATCTGTACAAGCCGGTAATGGAAAAAAAAACAGCATTTTAAGGCAGCCGCAAAACAATCATAAAGTGGCTGGACGAATTTTAACATTTTTGTTGGATCCTCATCCCTTTTCCTGAATGGCCTGGTGCAGGGGAAGTGCTTATATATAAGTACAGACTACAGAGAAGGAAATCAGTGGGTCAAGCTTACTAATGCGGCGAATTATGTTGCATGTGGCTGTTCTGGCGCACAGAAGCTGACGTCGGCAAAATCGGCATATGACCAAATTCGGGATTTAATTTAGTTTGAAAGTCTAAATGTCAAATGTAAAAAAACCTGCAGTTGATAGTCAAGGAAACACATTATTTCTCGGACGGCACATGCACCAATGCCTTTAGAAAAATTTGGTGCCCAGTTAGAGTTTGAATTTCCTTTCAGTCTGATTCATCTTAGCCTGCATCCGCGACGGTCAACAACATGGAGAGGGTCAGCATGAGCAAGCACTTCGGAGGCAGCCTGGTAGCCACATCCTTTGTGACGTCATCGATGTTTTTGGCCTTTTTCTTCTTCCATCTGCACCAGCAATACTGTCACATCGTTTTAATTTTCATCATTTTACAGCAGTTGAAGCTTTTTCATAATGGACATTTTGCCCATTTGTCGCACTTACAGCTCATAACACAGCGGAAAAAAAGGCCAGATTCCAACGTATTTCTTCTTTAAATCATCCTCCGTCAAAGAATCTAACCAGGATAGCGTGGCTCTGGTTTTACTACATATCTGGAAGTGTGGGACACCGTTCTTTCAGGACTGATTGGAAGGCTGCCGGCAACGTGCATGTTGTGGGTTCCGTAAAGGTATACTTCCAATACGGAAATACGAAAACGACCGGCTCCTTACAACATGCTAATGAGGAAAGGACCGGGTGTTGCGGATTCGATGGTCATTGGGATAGTTGTACGATATCGGCGTAAAACACATTGACAGCTTGCCATTAGAAGCAACAGTTTTTCAGCAACAGGTGGCGTAACACAGTGGCATAATCGGCCTCGACTGAAATGTGGCCTGGAATGTAACAAAATCATCTTCCGTTCGCAACATAGGCCAGAAAGTATACCAGGAAAGGTTAGGGAATTCTATAAACTCGTGGAACGTCAGGACGGAATTGTCAGCGATGATCCACCAATCGAGTTTCACGCTCAGAAACGGCAGAATAATGTTTGCCAGATGGTGCAGACATTTCTCCCAGTTACCGATGAGGTAAATGATTTTGGTGCTGGCTGTTACTGTGCTGCACAGTATGTGCATTATGGTAGCGGGGGCTCCGATAAAGTTAGACCACTGCTGTCGTGAGAACTGTATCAAAGTATCGAGGATATCCATAGCATGAGTTCATGACGTGGTAAGATCAAGCACTGTTGTATGATCTCGGAGGATAATAAGTGACGAAACCATTTACACGCCCTGAAGACAAAAATATCTGGATTGCCTATAAAGCGTGTTGCCTATACGGCGACATCATAGAAAAAAAAGAATGTGCCTAACCACACCGCTTCACACAAAAACGACATTTATTTTTTTTGCAAAATCCTTAGCGGTGCATCTGCCACTATAAAAAAACAGTTCTATTGCATATGCAGGCATCGGAACTACTGTGAAGTTTTGTCTCAACTCTCTGCGATTGATTATTTACGAATATTCGAATAACCTGTCTGATCCAGACAGGAAATTTCCTGAAAGGAAATTGGGCAAATACCGTACCTGCGAATCTGATGTTGATCAAAAACATCCATATAGGAGAATACAGCCAGATGCAACTCCGCAAATAGATCACTAAGGCGCAGTTCATTGGGGTTGTCCAGATCTACGAAGAACAAGTCAACAAGTACATACCCGTGCATCACGACATTGCACTGGAGAATGCTTAACAAATCAATTTTACAGTCACAGGCAAGACAGCTATGTAGATGTTGCTATTAACATGCAGCGTGATGACTTGTGTCAAAAAACAGCAAATTCTCCGTTTTAAAAATTCGTACTTTTTGTGAATGCCTGAAAAGTGACCTTATAATCTGAAGATTTTATATACGAGTACTGCGTTAAAAAGTGTGTGAGCGCAATACCCCGGTTGCTGAGATATGGCGCATTAGACTGAGCCAAGAAATTGGACGTATAGCCAGGTTAATATCCAATCCAATTTTTTAATAACTTTGTGGGAAAAGGCGCATAATATTATTAAGACGAAGCTGAAGGAATTCTTAAAATATATATTAATTTTCAAATTCATATTTAGTTTGTGTATTTTAATTTCTAGTTTGACAACGGTAGAGAATCTTTATACGGCAATCTGCAAGGTTTCGTGTCACGGCAATCTACTTTACAATGGTTACTTACGTTCCATGCCCAAAATCACGCTCACAAGTTTGTCCACCATTCTACCCACGATCTTCGGGGAACCCGTCGTTAGCGCAGCTAAGAACCGCTGAATGGCGTAGACCGAATACCTCCGAATACGCCATTCCTCGGGGTCTTGGCAGCGACCTTTTGCGACCAACCCGGCAACGCACTCATCCACAATCCCCAGAAACATTATCTGCTTCGTTGCACCACACCTCGACAGGAATTGGCTGTGAAAGTGTGGCATGTCCTACGTGCGTTGCATTTCATCCGCAATATCAGGGATTTTCTTCTGGAACTTGCAAAAAGGGATTAGCACACGGCGAAAGGACTCCCTGGTGACGGGCCCCAGCGGTCCCGCCCGAAGCACACGCTTCAGACAGTTCAGAGCCGCATCATTCCCGTCTCACACGCGGTACTTTTTCACCGTGTCATTCGGCAAGGCCACCTCGACATTCACGAGCGTCAAATTGTAGTAGCAAAAGAGTTCAGCGGAGATTGCAGGCTGCCATGATTCCGGTTGGGCCTCATCTGTACTCACCAGGACATCTATTCCTTTGGCGATTATTGACTTGGATGCTGTAACTGGAATGCTGTCCTGATAAGCCCACTTTGCGCAGCTTTTTCATGGGGCCGAGTCATGAGGACAACTGGACGCTGTTTCGATATGATTTCGTTCTGCCGACATGTTCGCCCGACTTTAGTTCTCCAATTTCGCTTTGGTTACACCGCTTTTCACCCCCGGCAGTCTTCTCAACACCGGACTACAACGTTACAGCCACAAGATCACTGGCGTTGCCGCGATCTTCCTGTCGTCGTCTTCATAATCTCCGCATATGAAGGAGGAAGATCCGATTCCCGCCTTAAAGCGACTGCGGCATACGGAGGCGCTTCATCCGTCGGCGTGCTAGGGCGTGGCAAAAGGCTTTCCGTTACCTCATCGGAACGAGTAGAAGTTCCCGCGTCGCTCACAAGTACAACGGGAGGTAGTATACCGTGCGGAGCCGTCGCGCCTGAGTCTGCCACAGGCCTAGGACATGTCAGTAATAAAAGGCCCGGTAAGGCTAGGATGGCCTGCAATATCAGGGAAAGCCCTTCTTCGACAGAGTTCCAGTTATTGGTAAATTTTCCCGTCGCCTGGTGTCCGACCGCTTCTGCAATTGCGGCCGCACTGAGCGCAGCTTTAACGGCCATGCAGCCCACATAAATGCGAATGAATCTTGAGCAAGCCGGTTGGGAATACTGACGCGGGTCTGGTGCAAGCGCTCGAGGCTGGTCCCGGTAAAATAAACCGGATAGTCCGAAAATGTTGGTGAGAATTCGCCATGCCGGAGAAATCATCACAAACACAGTCTGTCTGATTTCCTGGAAATCTGCAAAACTAATGGATTATGAAGTTGCAACCCCTTATTTGCTTTAAAAATTTCACTGAAGCAGTTTAAAAGCTGAAGTTATCAAACAATATGATGTCAGTATTTGTGTTTCATCTTAAGAACATCTGAGGTAAATAATTCAATAATTATTAAACCCAGTAGTAATAATTTAGTATTAAAGGAGCAAATATATTTAATAAAACAAATAAGTTAAATATTAATTCAATAATGGTATGGAGCGTCACCTACCATCGAAATGGGAGATAATAATAATTAGCATAATTGAGAGCTCGGTAGCGCAGGACAAAACCATCCAAATATGGAACGCTTCAGCTTCGCTGGTCCGCGTATTTTCTGGCCTCTCGTTTGTTCCGACACACCACTCAGTGAAAGTATGCGGAACACGCCCTCGATTCAGGGTTACCGCGGCCATCATTAGGCATATCCCGACTACCACGAAATTCATGTCGCCAATCAGGATTAACACGCGTCCTCTTTTTTCGCCCAACTGCACAGCTCCGTGAATAAAGGCGCCCAGCGCCAAGAGAACGGTGACGAGCATGCCGGACAAGTAGACCTTAAAGAACGTCCAACCCGGCGCTCTGTTGACGTGAGATGAACTGGCTGCTTGTTGGCAAATGGTTCGCCTCCTCCGCTCACTGAACAGGATTCCACCCATGTTAAATAGAATGGTCCACGCGTCCAGGATGTATCCCGTTGTGAAATCACAGAAATCTCCGAGTGCTTCTGTGGAATTGCGACAGAATTCACCGCAATTCTCCATCGTGTGCTTGGAGTCTATTGGATAATAAATTATGTGAATCCAAGCGAATTCTGCGTGCTGTACAATTTGGAATAAGATTTTCTTATCGTCAGGCCGCCAGACCCACACACCAGCTGACGGTGATCTGACCATAATTTAAGTGATGCACCCCAGCCGACCACAATTTATGTGGTGGTGGCCTTCCGCGCGGGTCACCAGCTAAAACCGGTTCATGCGCTTTACACAATATAGGAGCAAAAAACAAAACTTGGTCACGGACCGATTTTTGTTTTATGGTCCTGTATTATAAGAGGCGCGGTCATGCAGTCGGTCCGCGGTTCAAAATTTAGGCGTTTGACAGAAATATGATAAACGCCCTGTAATACATTTGGTTCACCGACACTCAAAGGTACGAAGAAAAGCGCATTTCTGCGCTATATGCGCTAATTTGAAGATCCGACATTTTTAGCCTACACTGTACAGGGTAGTACAGTGAAGTAGCCCTGCACTGTACAGAACTGAACGAAGGGTGCAATTCAGGCCCGTTGTTAAACTTTATACTCAACTTTCCGTTATACATAATACAAAATGTAACGTATATGCGCATTATTACATAGTTATAATCAACAAGAGAGTTTGTACGAGTATTTCGTACTTGTATTTCCGTACTTGTATTTCCGTCCGCTGGTGCTCTTCCTTTGCGCAGTTCACCGGTAGAAATAATGGATAAGAATACTGCCAGCAGGTTGACAGCAATATTCGCCAGAGAGAAGTTTAAAGTCAGATGGTAATATGTGCTCTTAAAATCATCCAACATGTCGTTTACCATTGACTGTTCCTCCCGCACGGCGGAGATAGCTACAGTCGAAGACCTGACCGGCGAAATCCGCAATGCCGCTGCTTCCCGCAGCGTAAGATAAACCATAATTCGTATCGGATGTCAGTATCCACTGCTCTTCGAGATAATCTCTCTCGACACTGGCGTTACGCGGCGACGATTTCTGATGGAACCGGTTGCAGAACGAATAGCACTATTCCCAAAAAATTTTTCGCATGCCACACAGTGGCGAGTATTTAGCTTGTCAAACTTTTCGCGACAGTTGTTCCGGAGATCAAATAGCGTACAGTGTTGACGCCTATTTAACGGTATTAGGGATGATTTGTTACAAGAAATTTTTCCGTGTTAAACTTGGCTGAAGTAGAGCGTCCTATAGCTTTCTTACGGGATCGTTCGCAAGTTTAAACAGAAAGGTGACGGGTGGCTGATGTCATAGCTCTAAAACATGCTTGAACTGTCACACGGTCTCAAACTTCTGTGTGCTGATAGCCGTCATAACTATGATCTCATATCCACTCGAGAGAATATGAGTACGTGCAGCTATAAATAGAGTTATATTCCCACAACCCTACTGTACGAAACATATTGCACGGTGTTATGATGTGTGTGGGCCCAGCGAAAAATCAATAACCGGTTTACATCGCATGCGCCTGAACTGCCGTATGGTGGGAACCAGAACGTTGTATGTGGCAGCAGTATGGATCGGGATAGAAAAATGAAGCGTATCCTAATCTCCTAAATTTCCCTGGCCCCGTGCAGAGTAACTTGTACGAGCAAATAGGAGTTAAATAAATGTTTTAATACGTAAATTCTACCGCAAAAATACACTTTCTCGGGCAGTAATATCTAGCAGGCACTGGTGACTGGCAACTGGATTAAAACAAATCTTACAGTTGAAGTCAGTATTCTTTTTCTGCCACAGATTTTGCTTATTCCATTGATTCTGCATGTACATATATACGCAGGAGGATGCATATGAGACTTGTGGGGCGCAAAGATCGATTACAGAATGAAGCCTAACAACTTGTGGGTGTTTGTACGTAGTCACATCAGTACAAATACTGAACGTGAACCCTGTAAATGCACTTTTTTCAGATAGTTTCATGCTGCTACAAAAGTGTTCCAACAGGATGTGTTTACAACACATTAACCTTGCAGGGAGTGACCAGGTAAAGAAAGTACCAGTACAGGAAGTACTGGTATAGATATTCCTTGTGTGGTGTTACGCGTAATACTCGTAGTTATGTATTTCAGCGAAAAAACAGCTTGGGTAGTACGAGTTTTACTGTCCTATCCAGTTACCACGCGTAACAGACTTCGAATGTGCAAGCAAATCTTACTGAAAAGCACACTGCACTGCATAACGGCGTCGTATGGTCTGGGTGATTTTTTGCTGTCGATTTGGTGAACATGCAGTTAGTTACCTTCGCCGCCAGTGTTCGTGGGATCGTCAACTCATATTATAGAGTGTGCCATGCAGACAGTTTTGCAGTAGCGTCAGCGCATTCTCCCTTACAATAAATCACCCACTTGAAGTTACCGGCATTTTTCTCACCGAGGCAAAACCGTGCACATCACTCGTTTATTTCAAATGCAGTCAAAAGACTGGCGAACAGTTATTGGCTATTGGAATTCTTTAATGTCCATGCTGGCGGCAGTAATTAAGCAGTGCGAACGTCCAAGAACACGTCTATCTCGGTCCTTCCCTTTATAGTGTGCGACTTCTTCCCATGGATCGCACCGACGACAACGAGAAATGGGGAGACTGGCTTGTCAGCGTCATTATACAATACGCTGGTGCCATCTCGTCAAATCCTGTCGAAAGAGATACCGATATTGCTGAACTGCTTTTCTATCTGGGACATCAAGCTGCTATGCACGACGGTTACAAGAATTGTGGAGCGTGGAAGATGCTGATATCAATTCAGGACAGTAAGCATTTAAATTACAAGACAAAAGAGCAGGTGAGTGAAGTTTACTGATAAATTTAATTACATCTTGCAAAGTATAAAGTATAGCCTGGGGGGCATGCTTAACGCGAAGGTTACACCTTATTACACTTTTGTGAATCTCATATTAATATTTTGTTATTTAGTGCGCGTGTTAGTATGTAAAGAAATATTAGGAGGAATAAGAAAGTGTCTGTGGCGCTATGTTATACAAGAAACCGCCTCGGCTTCGCCTCCGCGTTTCTTGGGTTCTAAACTCCTTGGCCGGTTTACGGATTGTTAACTTAGAACGGATAAATCTGAAGAGCCCGATAAAAAAAATTTTATAAAAAAATGGATGTTTTGGTTTCGTGCAGTCAAAGGCAATTACTTTGACTTTACAGATCATTTTTTGTTAAATTTTCTTAGCGAAAAACCATCCGAATCAAATCACCCACGAGAGTATCACATTACAAACTAAAAGGACGCTAAGACTGGACAGTGGTGCTAGATAGGTCACCCATTAAGAACTTAGCAGGCCCTGCTCTATTTTGCTCAGTAATATTGCAGTTTGGTCATACGTTCACCTAACGGGCTCTGTGCACTGGATAGCTTTGGCAGCTCGGTCACCCACCTACCTAACGGGATCTATGCAAAGGACAGTACTGGTAACTCGGTCTCGAGTATATGCGCTGGACAGTAGTGGTAGCTCGCTCATTAGATCACTTAACGGAGTTCGTGCACTGGATAGTAGTGATAGCTCGGTCACGCGTTCACCTAACGGGCTCTGTGCACTGGACAGTATTGGTAGCTTGGTCACCCATCTACCTAACGGGATCTATGCACTGGACAGTATTGGTAGCTCGGTCACCCATCTACCTAACGGGATCTATGCACTGGACAGTATCGGCAGCTCGGTCACCCATCTACCTAACGAGATCTATGCAGTGGACAGTAGTGGTAGCACGGTCACTAGATCACTTAACGGAGTTTGTGCACTGGAAAATAGTGGTATCTCGGTACTTTTTCACCTAACGGGCTCTGTGCACTGGACAGTAGTTGTAGCTCGGTCACGTACTCACCTAGCGATTTTTTGACGCACTCAATCACTAGGTGAGTGACTGACCGAGCTCAACCTGTCCAGTAAGAAATATCGCTAGGTAAGGAGAAAAATCGCTAGGTGAGGATGTGACCCTGCTACAACTACTGTCCAGTGCACAGAGCCCGTTAGGTGAGCAAGAGCAAAGTCCGCTCGATGACTCACTCACCTAGAAATTCTGCTCAGTGGGCAGTAATGGTGTTTTGGTCACTCACTTGTCTAGTGATTTTTCTTACTGGTCAGTGGTGGTAGCTCGGTCACCCACTCATCTAGAGATTCCGCTCAGTGGTCGGTGATAGTGTTTCGGTCACTCACTCGTTCGGTGATTTTTCGTGTTGATTTTATATTTGATTTTTTACATTTTATACCGGTTGATTTTAAACGTGTTTCGAGCTCGGCAACACCGGCAGCAATGTTTGAATAACGCGAGTGTTTGAATAAGTACAATAATCTATTTAGTTTTCGGTTTAATTAGTGTGATAATTATGTCAATTGGTATTTTGTATTGTATCTAGGCAAATATTTCTAAGTTTCAAGGTGACCTTTAAGATGGGTTGGATCATTCTGGTCTTGATGCCGGCTTGATACCGGCTCGATATTTTCATAAAAAAAACACATGCCGGCCACTTCTGAACTATACCGGATCTAATGGCGTTGTCCGTTTTTCCAGAAGTTTTATGGTTATAGAGATCTCAAAACTATGGGGCGCCGCGCGTAGTATAGATCTTGTACTTAATAACACTATAACAGTAGCGCTACCCGGGTACTGTTGTTACTGTCATTATGCGTATAATGACACTTTTTCCGATCAGATACTACTCGTGATGGGTTTTGATTGCTCTACGTATTTTTCTGGCACTGTCTTTTAACTGCCATTAAATCCTCACCTGTTCGGTCGGTCGATTACTTCGTATCGCGTCAGCCTGGGCAGAGCCGGTGTGTTACGCTAATGCACAATTGTGCGTTGCAGTATTTTGCCGCCTATGCGAAGAGACTTTTAAAAGAAGCAAAAGCGGAAGACTCCATGCAATACAAAGGCGACAAGGGGAATCCCCAGGCTTCTGCAGCCACCGACCTACAGGTACGCAGTAATAGTCGCATAGATAACAGTGTTGCTTTTATTGCTGGTCAAGAAAAGGGTCAGTTGAATAGTAAACGGTTGCAGTTCTAATAAGTTTGTATGCACTGTAATTTAGCGATTTTATTTTGAGAATTAACGCTTACAGTAAGGCTAATCTGCTAGCGGAAGCCGAAGTAATTATTATTTCCACTTTTACACTTGTTTTAATTTGCTGACAAAATGCACTAAATCCCTTCCGATAGCTCCATACAATGCCGCGCGATGCAGTTGCTTGTACAAGAGACCAACAAATAGATTCGGAAATAAAGCGCTTGAGGGATATTATTGCGGAACAGACGACCGTCATAGACAGCTTGAAGAAGCGTGTGGGCTCAGTTGAATGTCGCCTTCTTCCCAAGCCTCCTTCGTTCTGATCGTCCCATTCTGATCGTAATCGTGCCGGCCAAGGTTTTCATAATGCGGTGCAAACAGTTCCAGTTCGAAGCTGCTACAGTACGTGAATAAAGATACATTAACAATTTGTTCACATCAAAAAGATTTTTTCCCAGATCGTTACAATACTTCTACCCAATTATTATGTTTTGAATTTGCAGCATTAGGTTTTACATGTGTTCACAAAGCATACAACAGCTGCAAAATGATAAGATCGTAACATACGAGAAGCGAAGAAACCGGCACAAACAGCTCATATGTATTGTTAGGCAAAATGGATTTTCGCAATGGAATCTGGACTGCCGGGTTGCCGTTTAGAAATAATTTATGCGGTAAAATGAAGCGCAACAGTTCCTACGGCCGCAAAATAAGATATAGGTAGCGACAAAATCAGTTTAAACGAGAAACCATTTTATTTCTCTATTGCACCAGACATGCAAAACAAAACAGGATCAGTTTTGTCCAAGTGTTTCACCATGTTGTGTCTAACTGCTTTAACCAGCTTACCAGGAATGCAGCATGACACCGCCGCGAGCGGAAGCCGACTAATCTGCTTCTAGTCAGAACTAGTTAATATGATTCTCCTTTTTTACGTGCGGGAAAAGGTTGTACTAAAGAGTCCTGCGATTTGGTGACCTTGTGATTCTCGAATCTGGTAATCGTATTTGTAGGTGATTCAAGACCTTGCCTCTTCCAACCTGAAGAGTCGACTGCTTCCTGAAAGCGCAGAATAGCAGCTCGACTTGAGATGCTCTAAGAACATCGTTTTTAACCCTATAACTAAGCACTAAGCACCCTATAACTATTAGTCTATAACTAAGCAGAAAGAGCCTTTTGAAGATTTATTGTTCAGCTTTTTTCTGCTGGCTACAACCCTCACTCAGGGGAGTTTTTGCGCCAGAAATTGGTATCGAGATTTAGCGAGGAAATGCAATTTCTGTTCTCGATACATTCAGCGACATAGTTGAGAAGGAACATGTGTATTTTCCCTACTACTGCAATTTGGCTGAACGGGGATAAAGTCATGAGTCATGACTGTTTTTGTTTAACTGACACTTTCTACTCTTGCAATATACAGAGTATTATCTATGGTCTGGCGTTCCAACAGAAACGGAATAATCTTGTACATTGTGTGGGGAACTCCTAAAATTAAGCGCTCCCCGTGCACAGTGCACACCAAGAACTCAAATGAACGTTTTTATTAACGCCGTTGCCAAATCACAATCAATCAGAAATTAGACAAACATGGTAAACAGAACCCGTTGCAACCGACCTGGCCACGAATTAACGGCTAAATGAACCGCACCCCCCTCCACCCCGTCCCATCCACCGAGCAACCAAACGGGCAAGAAGGGAAGAAAAAAACAGAGAGCCAGAAACAATCAGCACCCCCCCAACTCCCCTGAATTACCGCAACATTAATCATCAGCAGCCACCAGCCCCAAACAGGAAAAACAGCAGCGATTATTACGAGCACAACCCCCGTTCTTATCCGGCCCCCTAGATAGGACCGCTACAACCGTCATCTTCTGCAGGAAAATGCATCACAAGCTAATCGACACAAAACGCTCCCATCGTCGCCGGGAAGATCTGGACCCTTCAGACCCCGCATTATCGGCGACTGGCGGGTGAGGAGGGGGAACTGGTGCTCCGCTTGTCCAGCGGCGTGTTGAAGATCCAGTTGCCGTCTTCCAAATGGAAAAACTAACAATGCGAATACAGGTTAAAGTAGAAATAATAAAATCATCGCAGAACGGCGGCGGTATCCCGATAAAAAAAGTACTACCTAATGTTAAACAATTTCATAAAAATTATTTTAAAAACCTTTTTCAGCATGCTGACTTCACTAAGAAATGCATTTATGAAAAAAGTGGATAAACAGCCAAATTTTCGCTATCGGTTTTCCCGCGTATTTTGTGGACAGTCAATCAACGTCCATTGATAACAGTCGCCACCACAAAACACAGAAAACGAAATTGTCATTTTGTTATTGTAGTTTGTGAAACCGATCGTATTTAGTTTACCACATCAAATTTCTTTCCCGATCCTTTAATAAAAATAATTTCAAACACTTAAATTACAATTTGTAGGCAAATTTAAAACAAGTTATTTTCTTGTAAATAAACCAATCTATTTGTTTTGAACTTATTTCCGTTTATACAATAATTATTAAAAATACCGTGAATAAAGTTGTTACTGTGTACCTTATTGGGAAAGCGCTGGTCGTTGATCTTGCGCTGTTTCTCCTCACGGCGCTGCACCTCCTCCAGGGCGTTCTTCTCCTGCGTGGCCCGCTCGATATTCTCCGTGGCCAGCGCCTCCGTCACCTTCTTCCACAGCCGGCGCGACTCGAAGGGATCCTGCTTGTCCATGGGACGGCAGCGCTTGCGGATGACCGGCAGGGAGCTGATGTCGATGGTCTTCGAAGCCGATTTATTCTGCGACTCCTATTCAACCATCAACACATGTCCTAACCGTCACTTACGGCATCCACGAGTTCCGATTTCATTCAACAAATTCACCGAATTTTAACTTACTTAATCCTTCCAAAAAATATTTTTTTCCCTGGTGTTGTAATACATTCTTTCTTAGCATTTTTAGCTCACATATTTCCCAACACAATAATCGAAATTATGCAGTCGAATACAATTCCATAAATAGAAAAGTGCTTATTAATTCCATAATTCGTTATCAATTTCATAATGATAATACAGTAAGAAAAATCACTAAGAAGTAACTATAAATAAAAAAAAATCATCTGCAATAATCTACCGTTAGTGCGGATTCAGAACACACCAAACTACCTAACACTGGATTTCGTAGTGCAACGGCAGAAGTTTAGGGCAATGACATCGTCCCATTTGCCTACTACAAAATTTAGGGCGCAAAAATTAATTGGTAAATGAAATCTCTTTTCCTTTTTTGTTAGAAATAAAAATACATTCGGCTGAATCCATCTGTCTGTTGTACTAACTGGTTCAAGACGATATTTCGACGTACATTGGTCATGGCAAATTCGAAGGATCCATTCCACTCGCCGGATACTTTACACGCCACTTTGCCCTGCGGATTCACCACATCCGCCGTCACGCGATGCAGTTTTCCACCATAGAAAGGCTACAGAGAAAAACAATATGAAAACCTGAAAATACATGGTAAAAAAAACTTACATCAAAAATATTATAAAAGAGGTAAAAAAGTTCACAGAAAAAAAAATGAAGAGAATATGTATACTCGTATCAGCAATATCACAATCACAAACATAAAAATTAATAATAAAAAACCTTACAAAAAACCTCAAAAAAATAGTATTACAAACATGAAATATATTAAAAAACCGTAAATCGAAAATAAGGACAGATAGAAAGAAAATTCAACGGAATAAAAACATACATACTAAAATATCAAGCCATTACGTACACGAAATATTAAAAAAAACAACCATAAAGCGAAAATAATAAAAAAGCGCAGTATTCCAAATACAAAATATCAAAAAACCTTAGTATCAAAATAATAAAAAGTATTAAAAAATCCAGTAGACTAAACATGAAAACTACATGAAAACTACTAATGAAAATTCAACGGAATAAAAACATACATACTAAAATATCAAGCCATTACGTACACAAAATATTAAAAAAAACAACCATAAAACGAAAATAATAAAAAAGTGCAATATTCCAAATACAAAATATCAAAAAACCTTAGTATCAAAATAACAAAAAAGTATGAAAATTCAGTAGACTAAACATGAAAAATTGTTGAGAAAGAAACATCAATTCATCCTGGTAATCGGCACTCTAGCTCGGCATACTGAGGTATAAAAATGTAAAAAGAAGGCAGATGAACGTTACTGAAAAATACTAAAACAATCCAATCAATTTACAAAAAAGCCCAACAGTAAATTATAAGTAGATAACAATTTGAAAAAATTAAAAATAATTTTCATCGAAAGGTAAATTCCCAGACCGCACGAAAACGGCAAATCTTACCTTGGTATGAAAGACAACTTCGGCGGAATAGCCGGATTTCTTGCACTCCAGCTGCACCTTCCCGCCCAGCTCGCACCAGGGCACGGTGAGGATGGAGCGGGCGTAGGCGGAGGGCAGGGTGAAGGTGTACTCCTCGCCGTACTGGATGACGCTCAGCTTGGCCATGCCGATCATGTTCACGCCGATGGACAGGCCGTAGAACTTGGACTGCGTGTAGATGGACGCGTTCATGCACAGCTTCTTCTCCGGACACTCCACATAAAAGGCCGTTACTGTGCAGAACAGAAAAATTATATCAACTAATTCCCAAATTATTCAACACAAAATTTCCCATAAATTCACTAACATGCATCGCAGTGACAAAATTATTGGGTAAATAATTAGTAATTTAAAGCAATATTATTAGTAGCATTTAATTAAAAACAAAACACATAAATACAGTACATAAATTTTTATTAAACCAACAGTAACGGAAAAATAATTTTCACATTTAATTTATTCAATACTCCCTGATTAAAGCACGGTAAATTAAAGGCGAAAATATTTAACTACAATTTATTCTACTACATCGCGTATACACCGGTACTTATCAAAGGAGAGATGTTACTACTAGAGTAGTATTTATTTAAATGTACAAATACGATGAGCAATATTATCGGCATTTGTTAAAGAAGGACATAAAAACAAATACTAAGCTAATAATATAAAATTAAGTTCCCGGAAAATATTTCAATAACATTGTTTCACAATTTGATTATTTTTAAAAACATTATTAATTAAAAATAGTCGAATAGATAGGGAGCAGCGTACCGGGCGGATGATGGGACACCTGTTCACCGACGTATTTCAGCCGCAGCAGACTTTTGGGCCCGGTGGACGACGGAGCGATCTCACTGGACGCCACGGCCGACGATTCGCCGGGAACTTTCCAGGAACCTGAAAACAGAGCAGCAGTGCTAAAAACAAACAGAATTTGCAAACTGTGAAAGAAACTCTTGCAAGCGCAAAAGAATGCCAATCAGTTGACCAAAAACACAACTACGGAAAACAAGAAATTGTAGTACGACGGCTCAAGCTTGTAACTTATCACTGATCGCTGCTGTCAGTTATTTGATAACAATATTAATATCCAGAAATCAAAATCGAAATTTAAAAAATGGTCACCAAAATTTTTTTGATTCCGTTATAATTATTCGTTTCTTCGTGTGGCTGTCCACAGAAAAATCTAAATTCGACCAGACGTAAATAATATGAAAAATAATATAAAAAAATTCATCGGTAAGTCGGCGAAAAAACAAACGCGCACTTCATCTTTTCAATTTGTCACGAACCTCACAACACTCAAATAAGAAAATTCCCTAAATTAATAAAAGAACAATTTGTGAAAAAAATACTCCTATTGATCACATCACGCTGCAGCAGTAGAAAAACAGTATTCGTGTTAATCACACATTCACACCGGCTAAACTTACAGTGAAAGGTTTCGCCAATGATGGGATTGTAGGGTTTTTTGGCCTGGGTGCCCTGCAGCGACAACGGCCGTGAACGCACCGCGCGTCATTAGTGTTTTCTAATCTGCACGGCGCATTACCTTGCGGACAATGTGGAAGGACGTCAGGTACCACTCGAGGACGGCCAGCATGCGCTGCTCGGGCGTCTCCATGTCGGAGATGCGCAGCAGGACGTACGCGTGGCCCATGTAGTCGGCGAACATCTCCAGCAGGGACCGGCGCTCCAGGATGAACGTCGGCAGCGTCACCTGGTGAAGTGCGGATCATTATGCGTCAATACGCCGGCGTTCATCCGCTTATTGACCGCTAACACCGTCGTTAACAATTAACAGCATAGTGACGCATGTTCACGCTTCAAGGTGCATCGCAGTAAAACCATTAACTATCGAAAGACGATCAAAATCCTTTCGGTTAAGTTATTAAAAAAAATCCAGCCTAATTTTTATTACGCCTTCGGTTTAAATTATCAAAAATACTAAGAGCATTAAAGAAATTTTAAACCATTAAAATTATTAAAATTAAAACTTAACAGAAATCCCTGCAATAAAATTATTAAAACGAAGATTAAAATTAACACCAGCAAAATGCCTTTCGATTAAAATAATTTGTAAAAAAATAGACCTTATTCTGATCACGTTGTCAATCAAGCTGCTGTAATTTAATGGGTAATGATATCCGAAAAACCCACAACAGAAAAACAGGATGCCATGCTAATAATCACTATCCGAAAAGGAAAGTTTACGCAATAAATTAAAATCCGCTGGTAAATTAATCAGCAATATTTAAATTCAGTTTACAGGAAGCACGCAATACTGGATTCTACAAAATACAAATTCAACCCTGGCGTAAACACAAAACCCCAGTAAATAATTCTAAATAGGTAACGCAACTTCTGAACTTGTAAGAACTAAATTCTGGGAAAAATAGAAATCGTGATTTCGGAGGTCTTAGTGAGAACGCGGTAAAAACTGAAATTTAATTATATCAGTTAATCTATAACAAAAGTTTGACCGTAAATATTGCTGTTAACACCAAGATACTGAGTATTGAGTAACAAGCTGATTGTGAGATGATTCCGGCGTAGGATTACACTACACTACGCTTTTCCTTATTTCTGCAGTGACATTCTTTCATCCATTCCGTCATATTTATCTATTATTTTACCACAACAATCTATCTTGTTGTTTATTTACTGTCAATGTATTAATTAATTTTTAACTGATTTTATTCAAAATATTTAGTCGATGTATTTATCCATTATGATGGATTTAAAACAATCGAAAAGGCAGGAATGCCCACATTATTAAGCCCAATCTCCGCCCCCGTTTAACTCGATTTGCATTGACAGCCGATTATCGAAGACAAACGACAGAGCTCAGGAAAAAGCGCATTTGGTTATTTTCTGGGAATAATCGGGCGGATAGGGGAAGAGCAAAGCGGATTGCGGTGATTAAATGCCCAGTTGTGCGGCTGACACCGAACGGGACCAGATGGATTCGATTACCCATCATCCCGGCCGACATTTCCGGCCTGGTTCGTTGGCAGCCGTGCATGGCTCAACTTTCCCGTTGCCAGCGAAGCGGAGCAATGAACCCCGCCACACGACCGGCCTTTCCCAACCCCTCCATTTCCCATTGAAATCCAATTATTCCCCACTTTTTTACCCACTTCTCATGAGGCTTAAGCGGATGTGGATGGCACGTGTTCGCAGAGAAATTTTATGGAAGATACGCGGGATTCGGTTTCATAACTGTTCCCACGCAAAATTACGAGCTGCGCCCTTTTAAAGCGGAAACGCTTGCATATAAGGTTGCTTCAACAACAAAAAAGCCAAAAAATTAATCATTCACCGAATGAAAAAATTAGAAACAGAAAAATTTAAAATGTCCAGTCAGTAAACGCTCAGTTAACAAAGAGTCACGAAACACCGCAGTCTGATATGCAAAGGAAAACGTTATTCTGCAGTAAATAGCAGAAAACGAATAAATGCAGCAACAAGCTCCCACTGTTTTTATACAAAAAACTTAAAATTAAATCCTTAAAAAATACTTCTGCAGAGATTTCCAAAAATATTTTTACCAAAATTCGTGGAACTACTCAAGTAAATACGATGATATCGTTTCAGCTACAAAAATGCACGTAATAACAAAATTACAGAAACATTATGAAAGAATTAAAGACATTTAGAAAATAATTTAAGAATTAAATTGATCAGAGAAAAATTTAATAACTGAAATTACAGAAACATTATGAAAGAATTAAAGACATTTAGAAAATAATTTAAGAATTAAAATTAATCAGAGAAAAATTTAAAGATTTAAAAAATAGCAGAATATACATATAATTAGGAAAAACTTAAGAGAATCAAAGATAGTTAGGGAAAAATTTCAAGATCTCAAAACATATTTAGAGTATAAATAATTCGGGAAAAAAACAGGCGGACAAATTTCGCAAAACTGCATAATTTTCCGAAAAAAATCTTTTAAACAGTCGTAGAGCGTCATGTCGCTTCCGCTACCCACACTTCACTCAACGCCTCCCGTTGTGTTTACTGTTTAAACGCGCACGTCAATCCCATTTCGATAAACGATCAAACAAACGAAATATTCCATGCACCATATTAACCGTGTATAAACAGCGCGCACAAAGTGCTCCACACATCCCGTGTGTATGCCCTGAAAACACCTCACTCCGGCCTGTCAAGCAAACGGAAATGGATATTCCCGGCTGCCCATTGATTCCGCACCGCAGTGTGCAAATAGCATCGAACGTGGGTCTGTGCGGGACATGTTGAGGGAATCAAACAAGGCACCCGAGTGCCTACTTTCCCCTGCTTACAACCGCTAATACCCGCACTCTCCACACCGCTTCCGGTGTCAAGCAGCGTCTTGACAATACCCCACGCCAAACCACGCCGAGAAAATGCAGCGATTTTGACAAACGTCAAGGCAGAAGTTTTCTTCCGCGAAAAAAATCAAGCAACAAAACATTAAAAATGGGGAGAATTATAATGACATCTTTATTGCTTATAAGAAATGATAATGATTACAAAAACAGTTCACAATAAATGGTCAATAAATATTACAGTATGAACGATTATAAGAAAAGTGTGAATGGTGTCCCTATAATTCTAAATAAAAATAATTCTATAATTCTATAAACAATAATAAATATAACTAAATTATATAATAAAAATTATTCTATAAAAAATGATAAATATAGATAAATTGTAAATTATATAATTCTATAAAAAAATTCTAATGATAATCATACACACAAAATGCCTTGCATTAACTTGTACAAAAACTACTAGTAATGCGCTGCCTGTCGCTTCGACGCAGACATTTTAACGAAATAAGGAAAAACGTAGTGCAACGTCTAAGAAAATAAAGTGCGCACATGGAAACACGCTTTGCTAACACTAAAACTCCGTGGTGTATAATAATGAAATATTGTTTTCTAGTTTTTTCTTTTAAAACGGAACTATAAAATTATTTTAGCGCAAATTTTTTCATTTTTTTAAAGACAATTGTTATTATTTACAAGATTTTTTACAAATAACACAGAAAACCAAGCATATATTTTTTAAAACCACAGCAAAAAAGCAGAAGCAAAATCGCAAAAATTCTACAAAAAGATTCATATTTCAGAAAAACACCACCAAATACAGCTGTATTCCAGCAATGTCAGATACAAATTAAATATGGCGAAAACCTGCTACGAAATAGTAAAATTTCATGGTTCAAATTCAAGGGTATTAAACTAACGTCCACTGCATAATACTGTAAATTAAACTGCAAAAGACGAGAGAATTTCGCGCCCACCTTTGTCAAATCCATGCCGATCTTCAGCTGGCCAATTAAATGCAGAATCACGCTCTTCTCGCTCTCCACCGAGCCCAATTCCCCGGAATCGGTCTCCTCCTCATCGGTGACCTCTTCCTGATCATCGGCAAAGGCCGGTGGGCGGGAATCCTGACGGAGGATCTTCGGCGGCACCCCGGAACCCGAGGAGCTGCGGGAACGCGGTCCCGGATTGGGTTTGGCCGGCGGTGTCTCCGCGCTGACCACCACTAACTTGGCTTCGGCTTCCTCCGTCACCGGCAGATTTTTCCCGCGTAAAATCGGCATTTCCACGGTGGGCGGGGGTGTCTCAGCAGCCTCTTCTGAATTAGCTAAAGTACCTAAAATAATTAAATTAAATTCGTTTTCAGATATAAATAATTCAGTTCGATTTCAGAACCAGAAGGAAATCGGTAAAATTAGGCAACCTAGAAAACATAAATGCCCCCGTAAAAAAACGTAATTTTCAATAGAAACGAATATCGAGAAAATTTTTAACGTAATAGAAGAGCAGCATATGTGAAACGAGAACAGCCTGGTTGCAGAAAGCCTCGCTTTGCAGGGCCGCTGCTCTACGATGAACTACGGAATCCCCATGTGTTACAGTAAAATTCAATGTAGAAATTCAAATTAGAATTCAGCATCGCTACTTTCGTAAATCCATAACGACAGTTATTAAAAATTTTTTCCACAACTGCCATTAATCACAGCGAAAATAGTATGCGGAAAACTGAAAAAAACTTAAATGCACATCAGAACAAAGATTTACTGTATCATAAAATTTAAATGTTGATCATAATCATTAATTTCCTAACCCACAGCAAATACGCAACAGAATTTCCTCTGTTTTTTTAATATAAGCGATAACACTGTTAAATTACCAACGCTAAGTTAATCCAGGAATTCAAAATTAAATTAATAAAACTTGAATAAAAGAAACAGCGAAATAATATTTCGTTTTTCTCTTTTATTCAATTAAAACTTTTATGTAAAAATACATATTATGTAAAAATAAAAATCGAAAACACATCGCAATGCTAGCTCCCAGTTGACAATATTCTGAAATAGAAGACAAACAATATGACCCCAAATCCCCAAACAGAAAATTAAACAGAAAATAATTCTCAAATTGTCGTTAATTTTCCCTAAAATTATTGGCAATTTCCTGAAATTATTTCGATCGAAATTCCAAACACACAGAATAATTCCCCAGTTTTATCACGCAACGCCGCGTCTCCCGCTGCCAATCTCCCAACAAACAATTCCCAGAAAATCCCCACAAAATCAAAATTATAGCCACTTACGAATCGGGGCGGGCGACACACTGCGCCGCTGCTCCGGGGCGGGCGACGCCGTCGTCAGCCCCTCCACCCGTCCCCCCTGGACACTGGATGAGCGCGGCGTCCCCTCCTTCCCACTGCCGCCGGACGACGATCCCTGGGGGCTCTCAAAGGGCGTCGACGTGTCCACGTCCCGTTGCTGCGCGGTCTGTGGCGTCTGCTTCAAATCATACGTATTCACCCCGCAATACCCTGTTCCCGTCGTCTCGGGCACATCCGTGTTCATCAGGGCAAACAGACACTGGTGCAGGCAGTCCCATTGTGCCAGGGAGGTGGATTTCAGCAGGAGGAGGTCGGGAGTGTGGCCGGCCGTGCTGGGATCATCCGCGGGATTGGAGTGCTACGATCAACAACGCATCAGACTGAATTTCTGCGGGAATTATTACAGAATTTTATCGCACGCGCGTCAGGCTGTGTTTTTCGCAACGAAGATGGTGCGGGTTGCCCGGGTAACAGGGCGGGTATGAGCACCGCCGATTGGGGGGATCGATCGTGAGATGCGTACGTTGCCTGGGGTCATGATCAACACATCCGACCTGATCCCGATGATGCTGCGCGGTGTCAGTAGACCCCGCGGCACCACTGGGACACGCTGATCAATAATCGTTATCCCCACAGATTCACCGCATTACGCACATGTACGCGATGTGATTTGTACGCGGGAGTTTATACGCAAAATTCCCTAAACACGTATATATACGGGCCACGGCGCAAGAATGTCAACAAGCCTAAAAATAGATTTTTATGCGGGGAAATTATTACAAACGAGTGATTATGAGTCAGTGTCGTCAAGCGCAATATCCGAAAAAAATCCTTATGAACAGGGAGAAGTATCGAGAGGGAAAACCATTTTTAGCTATGCAATCATGGAATAAATACGGCATTCTGTGTATGTATTTTTTTCGATAGCATTTCATTTCTTCCAGATAATTTTTTTTATTAGTGCAGATTCAGTGATGCGTAAATACGAGTAGATAGTAGATACCGTGACAAAAATTCATACGTACTCGTAGTATTGTCACAGTTCAAATTGCCTTCTCAATGACCTTCTGAACACGAGAAACCGTAGTACACAGGCTGATATACGTTGCGCTTTGGTGGTCCAGTAATGAATATAAATTAATCAGAAAATACAAAAAAAAAGCCTTTGATAACACAAACTACCACCGATTATAATTTTTTAAATATGATATTTGTTGAGCGAAGCTCGCCTTGTACACATTGAGAAATAAACGTTACTTTAAATATAATGTTTATTTCTAGTAAAACCACATACTGTCGGCGCCTAACCGTAAAACCCACCCGGAAAAACCGGCCCGAGCGCCACACAACGGCGCACGGATAAAGTTCAAGCGGTTTCCGGTGGATTTTGAAATCCAATTTGAATTTTTGAAATTAATTATTAATTATTTTTCATCCTTGCTTCCAATTTTTTTCCGTTGTTTTAAGTATGAAATTACCACAGATCTCGAAAAGATACATGCTTTTTTTAGTTTCAAATTTATCGCACCGGATCCTCCGTGAATTCGCCAATCTTCCCGAAATTTGGTAAATTTACAGAGACAACAAACAGTTTTTGATTTTTTCTATTTTAATTTTTTCAACGGACGAACCCACGTTGCATTTTTCAAGTACCCGAACCAAACTACGGAAAAAAATAATCGTCAGGCTAAAAAAATACGAATATGATCGATGCAAATGGTAAACCGTTACACCAGTGTACAATTTCAAACTCGAGATTTTTTCGAACCGGCGTTGTGAAATACACTGCACTACGATTAATATCTGACAAGTGTCAAGCGTACCTCAATCAGCTTGCACATCTCCATGCGTTTATCGCGGATCTTGGCGATGATATTGCGTGCCGGGCCGAAGGGCTCCTCGAACTTGACTGTGGCCGGTTCCGAGGAGAAGCTGCGTCCAGCCATCACCGCGGAATAGGCCGGTGGGGGCGAGTAGGACCGGTTGAGGCTGCTGGTGCGCGGGGTGCTCTCGCGCTCCTGCCCGCCGGCACTGCCGCCCCCGGGGGTGGACGGCGGGCCGGTGCTGTTGCTGCGCGGCGGAATGGCCGGCTCGTTCAGGCCGTAGTTGGGCGAGATGACGCAGCGCAGCAGGTTAACCCATTTCTGGCGCTCCTTCGTGTCATGGGCTGCGGAAATAAGCAATTCATTATTTTTAAAGATACGGGCCAATTAACGGAGCATCGTGCTAGTTTCGTTTTGATCGATCTATTCCAGCACCTAATTTTCCCCATAATTTCTGACAAAAGAGTACGAGTGAAAATTCAGGAAAATAATTTAAAAATGCCGCAGTTAAATTATGGATACAAAATATTATTAACCTCTGATCGATATAGTTCCGCGAATCTACATACCTATACAAACATCAAAACATTTTAAAAAATGGCAAAATTGTTAAATTAAAATTAAAGAAACTCTTCGCCGGGTATTTCCACGCATTTGCCTTAAATTGTTTCAGCAAGAAAGCATTTTAAACAATGGCGACAACAAGCTCGAATTCAGAATCAAAACAGCTCTGCTTGGGTGTTCCCCGAATTTTCTTTTAAATATTTAAACAATAAACTTAAGAAATGGAGAAATTGTGTACAAAAGCCGAAAGACTTCAGTGGGACTTTTAAACCGATTTGTCCTTGAATAAATAAACACAAAATTATTTAGAAAATAAACCCAATAAATTACTATAAAAAAATTATGCTATAAAAACTTGAAAGAATTTTTCTCGGTATTTTCACAAGTTTTCGTAAATTATACGCTTACATCATACCACACGCATGGAAGCATTTCAAAAAACGGCACAAACATTAAATAAAACTTAAAAACAACTCTGCTCGGTTTTCCTACCAATGAACTTAAAACTACAGAAGCATATCAACCAAAGAATCCAAAAAGATTTGTTAAGACAATAAAATGGCCTTTGCTTCGTATACAATACAAAAAGATTGATCAAAATATTAAAAGGCTCTTGCTTGATTTTTCTGCAAAATTAAATTACGTTTTTAGAAGAAAATATCTCACAAAAGGAAGAACAAGAAAACCCAGAAAAGGCTGATAGATGACTGCCTTATTTTCGCACGAACTGGCTAAGAATTTATAAATAAGAATATTTTTACAAAAGGGCAAAACATGTAAAATATCGAAAGGCTGCTGTCTGATTTTTACACACGCTTACCTTTGAATTTATACACCTCGCCGTTAGCTGAATGCAGAACGAAGATCTGGGCGTCTTCCGAACTGGGCGACACGGTGGCACCGGGAAGTTTGACAACGGCACGGGGACTCTGTCCGCGATCCTCTTCCGTCTGGAAACCAATTAACTGTTAATTTATGCACACATGCAGACATTACAGCTACCATAATTACCTCATCTGGATATTACAGTAATTTAATTCGTAAAAGAAAAATAAGAGACACGATACAAAGTAAAGCTGCAATTTGTAATTTCATTACCATATTAATTTTTATTTTGATAGCACCCTCTCCGATCGTCGAGGTTAAAAAAAACGAGATGTGTACTACCTGTACTTGCAACTCAAAGGCACGGTTAACGAGCATACATAATTATATGTAAAAGATTATATAATTTATAACTGTAAAATTTCCCATTAATATTTTATCCATTTGCGCGAAATGTGAAATGCACTACACTACGATTCCTCGCGTTACAGCAGTGAGTAGTACGATAATTTACTGTGCAGTTGCACTGTATACACAGTTTTTCCATTATTTTTGCCATTGACCATTCTACGCCAACACCACGGTTTAAACTGCTGGTGTTGATATGAACATCAAGATAAATAATTAAATAATGCGAAATGCAGCCGACTCATGCCCGATTCCCATCAAAAACCACGTGAGAAGTTACGTTGTCTCACAAGTCAGCGCCAAAGTCATCAGTTAATGGCAATCTTACAAGTGCATCGTTTGTTACAAAATACACGAAATAGGGGAAAAACAGAATGTATGTAAGCAAGTTAAAACAACCCAAAAAGTGACAAAAATACAAAACTACCCAAGTACAACACAAAAATCTCTATTTAAAAACAATTATTAACTGCCACATAACCAGGACTGAAAACATCTCACATATTTACGAAAAACGAAAAATATGTATTTGTTGCAATAATATTACAGAATCATTACGTTTAGCCCAAAACACGAACACCACTAACATACGAAAAGCAAGAATATTATTTTTTAAACGTACATGTGTCTATTTTTTTCAAAACGGATAAACGACGTACTCCAGTTCACTTGTCAAAATCCATACATTATAAAAACAGGATCAAAGAAATGCAGTAGCAACAGGAAACACGAAACCCCAATAAATCTTCAACAAAAATCCGACGAATAAATGTGTTAGAAAAGATAAGAAATCATTAACGCCTGAACAACGCAGTATAATCGGCTATAAGTAGTAAGAACGAAATCCTAAAATATCAGCAGCGGAAATTTCCGCTACGGTCGGTTTTAACGCGGTCATTAATGGCCATAACCGCTGTCGTCGTCATGTTTAAAAAACCCAAACAAACCAAAGAAAATACCTACAAGCTACAACTACAGTTATCCAGGTCAGATTACTTTCTACTCTATTTACAAATTTATCTATAAAGAATTACAATAAAACTAAAATTTAAATTTTACCAACTTTGAAAAAAATCATCAGATAATTCGATTAGTGCGAGAAAAAAATTGTTAAAAATTTTGTAGAAACCATACAGCACGGTTTTCGAATAATCACCACCAACGGCGTTAATTATCGCTAACACAGAAAGCAAATTTCAATTTTAAAATCTATTTGTCAGAAAAGGGAAGAATATTCAAGAAATAATTCATTTTTCACTCGTAACGGCAAATTGCAAGAAAAACGTTGTTCAAAAAATGATCTTAAAAAAAATAAAACCTGATTTATTAATATTTCTTATCAAGAATTTCTGAATTATGTACAAGAAAGCGTGAAGAACACACCGCAAACGGCAAACGTACCAAATAATACTCCAGTGTGCAGTGCACCGGATCCAGCACGAACCAGCGATTCTGCCAACCACGCACCACGTTCGTCCACTTCGACAGCACCCCTTCGTGTTTCCTACGCGCAAAACCAACCCAAAATTAATTCACCGGACAGAGCAATCATCGGACAATATTCTACAATCCAATTCACTGGGAAGAAAAGCTAACAAAATGCAAAATACGAAGCAGAAACCCGAGAGGGAAAAATTAGGGAAAATCTCACGTTGGCGCCATCGACGACGACGGTCCGCCGTTTTTCCCATCCTGATTAGTCCCCGCCATCATAATTCAATTTGTAAAAAAATCCCTGAATAATTTGCCAAATTTTCCACAAGAATTAGGATGTAAAAGACAGCAGAAATAACGTCAATATCAAAAGCAGAAGAAAGAACGCGGAAAATCGGAGACTGACGATGGCGGATTGTCAACGGCGAAATGATCAGTCAAATTGTTCTCGTCGCGCGTCAAACACCAACAGGGATCATTATAGAGTGCTATTAGAGCGTATTAGCGAGACAGGAATAGATACAAATCAGGATAATGCCCTGCGGATGCCATGAAACACAGCTGATGGGGCAGGCAAATTATCCAGCGCCACGGGAGACACAGCGAACTCAACACATCACGAACTGACGCTTGCGTGTGATCGAAGGCACTGCCGTCTAACGAAAGACAATCCACGAGCGCGCTGCTGAAAAAATTATACAAAGAAAGAAATAAAAAAATCAACAGTAATTCTTGCTTTTACGGATTACTTAGCAAGGCTGACAAACTGATGGAAAAAGTGGAGGACAACGCGAAAATGGGTGAAACAGAAACTGTAAAGTGTAAAATTATTAAGTTTTTTGATTTACGAGCGAGCAGGCACTGGCAGCGCTCGGTGCAGACGGTGCAATTCCACTCCGCTGTGACTTCCAGTTCCACCAGCAGTGCGGGTACGCAGTTCCATTTTACACGAGCTGGCATTTCCGGGTGGCGAAGCTAACACTCACATGCCGTTGTTACAAATATCGAAATGTAGATACAGTATGTATATATAGATACAGTATAATACTTACATACAGTACACATGTACATGCGTGCACAGGCCCGTCGCGAGACCCCTGTGCAATTTTCAAAAAAGAACTCCTCCAACAGTTTTCATCGGAAAATTTTTTTGAATACACCATTGGATTTGTCGTGAAATTCTGAACAAAACGGTTGAGGCCGATTTTTGAAATTCGCAATTCCCCCTAGACCCTTACTACGGGCGGTCCCCAATTCGACAGCCTGACTTCTGGGGAATTCCCCCGTGCACTTTCAAAAATACACTTCTCCTACAGTTTTTATAGCATATTTTTTCTGAAAACATTCCTGAACTCGCCGTAAAATTCTGAACAAAACGGTTGAGGCCAAATTTCAAAATTCGTTCCTCCCCAAGCACGTCCACCCGAGCGGTCGCCTATGTCTCAACCCAAGTTTTGGGGCTTTCCCCCCTGATCCCTCAGAAATAGAGAAACCATTTGCGCTTGAAATACTAATTGTATCACTGAAAAAGGCTCGAGAAGGTGTCTTTGACTGCCCTTGGGGGCCAGGGGGGAATGCCCCAAGAACTGGGCTGTCGCATTGGCGACCGCCCGCAGTAGCGGTCTGGGGGGAAATGCGAATTTCAAAAATCGGCCTCAACCGTTTTGTTTAGAATTTCACGACGAATCCAATGGTGTATTCAGAAAAATTTTCCGATGTAAACTGTAGGAGGAGTTTGTTTTTGAAAATTGCACAGGGGTCTCGCGACGGGCCTGTGCGTGCATCATGAAAAAAAAAATTTTAAAACTTAACTGTCATGCAATTTTTGACTTGAGAATATTTACAGATATTGTACAGTACGTACATGCTGAGCGCACGTACAAGTACTGTACACCGCACCACAATACCATCTAAAATTCTTTAACAATTTTCGTTTTCCATTGAATTAGGTGTACATTATCCTTTTTTCCGTGCAAAAGAGCAAAATTAATATAGATTTTGGTTGGACTCAGGGTAGGTAATGTATCATGCGTGAACGTACAGATCAGTATACGAGTACAGCATGACTTCGGATTCCGTCCGGGTTTTTTTATGGGTAAATCAGGCAAAGCTGAAAATATACAATAATACGAGTATCTATAAAATTTCCGGGCAAGTTACCTGTATGTCAAGTACATGCAGTTGTCGATGACGAATATAGAATGACACAGTGCAGCAGAAATCAATCGTACAGTACCCGGCTAAAAATAAACTGCATATTATTTTGACATCGACTGAAGGGCGTAAACCTTAAAAACGGTAAAAGGCAAAAATTAATGCGACCGCATACTAAGTTCAGATCGAATTATTTAAGTATTTCGCACTCCTTTGTTCTGCTAACTGGAAAGAATATACAGCGTTAAGCAACTGCGTGTATGCACTTACAATTTTACAGTGTGCCGCACTTATGTAAGTATCTGCTTTCACTTACCTCACGCTAATGTGACATTAGCGTTAGTGATTTTTATAACCTTTGCGTTCGAAGTTGCGTTTAGATAAAGATTTTGAACTCATTACAGTATTGCAAACAACTACATGAAGTTATTCGTAAAAACACATCGCGAAGGAACTGCAGAGTATGTAAGTTATGATAGCAATTATCTAAGTAATATATAGATATTAGACTTATTTTATTGAATTAATCCGATGGTGGCTTCAGACCAAGTACTGCTAAAGTCAAGCTCAACTTCATAACCTTCTAGAAAACAATAAAGCAGAACTTGGTTGGAGTCGAATTATAAAAACGCCAGTTTCCTAATTCGGTTAGGGTACTGCAAGTTTCGGCAGTACGAGTGCAAGTGCTTACATGTACCTGCAGAAATGCAGAAAACGCAGAAATACAGTACGTCTAAGATTGGTTACCTGTCATTTCCGGCGTTCCGCCAGGCAAAGTACGTACTGGGCCCGTTGCTATTTATTTTGTACATCAGTGACTTATTGCTGCACAGCAGTTTCGAGATTGAAGCATTTGCGGATAATACCATTGCTCACTGCCGTGCGAAAACGAAAGCAGCAGCTGCTGAGAACTGAGAAGCTCTACGATGCGCTGGAGACGGCAGCGAAGTGGGTTGAAGAAACCAGACTGGCAGTAAATGTGAAAAAGTGCGCGGCTGTGTTTATTTGTACCGAACAGAAGAACCGAAAAGAAATCGACCCGCAGGTGAAGTTGACGGTTGAACGGTCAAACATTGCTTGTAAGCAGCATACAACGTACAGTACTTGGGCATTGAAGTGGACCACAACCTGCAATGGACTAACAATTGTAAGCAGTATGTGAAAGTGAAGGGAAACACCAACTACGGCTTTTCAAAAGAGCAGGTGTGAAATGCCCGGGCCCAACATCCCCCAACGAGTAACCATGCACTTGGGGTATGTCCAGCCATACATAAGTTACTGTGTGTTGGCCTGGTCATTAGCGTCTTTGGGAGAACGGGAGAAGTTGATAGAGCGACAGCACACCGCTTTACGGACCTTCACGGAGGATGCGGTTTGGGTAACACCGCAACTTTACGAACAGCTGGGCATAGTTCCAGCAGTCCAGCGATAGCGCCAGAAGGAAGCAGTGTGGCTGTACAAGATCCGCAACCGGGTCAGTTTTGACTGCCAGCATACATGTGTGACTTTGTTCCATACAAGGACATTAGCACGAGGTACGACTTCCGCCGGAAAGAAAGTTTTGATGTACATGCTGCAGAACTACGAACTGGAAAGACAACCCTGGCGATGAGGCTGAAAAATTTGTTTAACAAAGTAGTGGGAAGGGGGGGAATGGGCTGTTTGGTTGTGGATCTGTTGAGACTTTCCTGTCCTTGTTGAAATAAAAAAAAATCATGTAGTTCTTATTATTTTTTCTGTGTTTGTGCAAGTATGTATTGTACTCACCAGACTTCAAAGTGTCTCAAGGGTTTGTCTGCTCAATGGAATAAACTAAACTAACTAAACGGGATGATACGTAATATCATACGACCAAAAAATTTTCCGCGAGTACAGGAGTAAAGGTAAGCTTGCAGCGAACAATCAATGCAGAATCAAGAATGGCAAAACAAACGGCATAACTTGGTATTTCAGTTATGTCAAAAGCTGGATTTATCGTCATTAGTTCGTGTGCAAGGACCGAAACGCTACTTGCACAGCCGGTGCGGCAAAGCATGGTGACCGTTGTGGAGCCCCATCTTAGCCATCACACCACGTCTTCCATTTTACAGTACTATGTGTAAACTAGACTAAAACGTTGCCTGAAGAAGACTGTAGATAGAGTTTCCCCGCTAACTTCACGGATCTTCGGGCCGACGAAACGGATCAGTTCAGCGACGGCCGTCACAAATGTTCCGAGTGCTACGACTGCCAGAGATAGAAAGGTATCCCAAATCCTCAACGAAAGCATACGTCCGTTGTTTAATGTTTTCAGCCAACTGTGACCCTATACATTTGCCGATCTCACATGCACGCTAGCTGGATAAAAGCCGGAAATGCATAGCGTCACCGGCTGAATGAAAGCCGGACGGTCACAGTGTCCCAAAATGTCGACCATCTCTCATGGGAATTAAGATCATATCATCCAGCTGTTTGCAGTCCTTGACTAAGCGAAGCGACAATGAAAAATGTGGCGTTCTTACGTCGGTCACTGTCGCATTGCCACTAAATGGACACCTGCATGGTGGCCTCTGTTACCAACATAAAAAATGCTAAGCTAACGAAGTCACCAGCAGTATATGCACTAGTAGAGATCCAACTCAGCTTAAAATTACTGTGGGCTCCTCTGAATCAGAAGACGTCCGCAGATCACCGTAACTTTTGCCCTTAAAGTTTTTTCTAATAAGTACTGTAAGCTGGGCTTCGAATCGTATACAACGTCGGCAATATTTATTTATGTGACTAACAAAAATCCGTAAGTACGTGATTTGTACAAACCTATCGATGAGCCGCACATACAAAGGGCGTGCCACAAATAAGTTTCTATATTTTGCCCCCGCCATTTTAAGACATACACTAAAAATATATTTTTCGTTACATACGTCATTTGATTATGTAAACTATCCCGGGCAAAAGGAGTCAGAAGCTCAGTACTTCACATGAAGTGTTGACCTTTACCATTCGCGAATTCACGGCATATGGCAAAAGCTGCAGTACGGTGCAACACTTAACATGAAGTATCGACTGAATTAGTTATATCTGTATCTACAGAGGGTTATTCAGCCAAGTGTGGTCACTTTTTGGAAAATTTCTGCTTAGCCGTTGCAGGCTTATTTTACTTTTTTAAAAATTTTATCAGATAACCACAACATTTAATCATATTCTGAATTCAACCGAGCCAAGATTTCGCTATCCTGTAGCCCAGGAAAAAATTAAGTTTATCCCCCCCATGTTGGCAACAGTTGACCAGTTCAGCTATAGGAAATGGATTCCCTTTACTCAAAATTAATTTAAAATTTGGGTTTTCGCCATAATCCATTGAAAACCTGTCAGGGGTTTCGAACAATCCTTTTTCAGAAGGAATTACTAGTTTTTTCGATCAGGAAGCAACATCCTTGTTTTCTCAGCAGTGCTCCCGGGAGCACATCTCTGGTTCTGGATGACTTCTTCCTCTCTGCCAGGCTTAATCCGCGGAGCGTCCTTTTCGATCAATGAACATTGTAAATTGTGAAGAAAGACCTGCGTTACAACTTTAGTTTGTGGAGGAACGAAAAGGATAGCTATAGCTCCGTGAGTAAGAATTCGCACAATGAGCATGGCTCCTGCGAGTGTCTTCCTGTTTTCGCGTTTTTTCCAACCGTCCTACCGCAAGAACGCGCAA